GCTCGGGTGCCTTGACTTCAACTCTCAACATTGCTTTGTTGCGGTGCGCTGCGCTGCATTGCTTCGCCTGGACACTGCGCTCTCACTGTGCCTACGTACGCAGCGCGCCAGGCTTGGCCGGGGCTGGGGCTTCTCGTCCAGTGTTTGTGCTGCCCGCTCGTCCGCTCTCCTCTCCGCTACATCCGCCATCATGACCGTTGACCATGGCCCCCGATGACATGCCTTTCTGGTGTTGGAGGGGTGGGGTTGTGGGAAACCCGGTCTTAACTCAACAGCGGCGGGTTGAGGCACATCCACGCATGCCAAAGCCTCCTGCGTACTAACATCAGCGGTACAGGGGAAAGTCCTGCTTTTCTCCTTGCAAACTGCACGGATCTCAAGCCGGATCCATGCGCCCCCTCTGTTGAGTTGCACAAGGTTCTGTCTTAGTGGCGCGGGCGAAAAGTGCATGCCACTTCTTGTTGCCTCACCTGCGACCCCAGCAGCTGGGATAAAAGACCAAAGACTATTGCCAAAAATTTGCACCTGCCAGCTACCGACCAATGGCAGGTGACCGTTACCGTTGACTGACTCTGCAAGTCTCTGGCAGCCTTCTCCCTCTGCTTTGGCGGCCAAAGTACATTTGCGTCTTTTAGCTTCCGGGCATCGTTCAAGAAACACTTGCTAGGCACACATTCACACTCGCACGGTCGCTTGCTGACCGTAAAACACCGGATTAAGACGCCGTCCTATCGGCCGATGTTCACGCTTCAACACCGTCAAAGAGACCGCCTCCTCTCTCACGAGATATTGACGCTCCACGGCTGGGCATTGCCGTCCCAAGTGCGAGCTTGGCGCCTACCGTCAAAGTTTGGTACATATCCCTGCGAGATGGAAATGGACCGATGACCTGTGTGGCACTCTGACCTCTAGAATCCCGCAGCCAAAGATGCCCTCATGTCATGATCCTTGGGGAGCACATGAACCCGTCCATGACTACGGAATTTGCCCCGGATATGCATCCACACGACGTCGATGAATTACAACTGTGGATTCACCATGCCTCCAACCTAGTTTACACCCCCGAATATAATCGCTGTTCCAGGTCATACACAGGCCCCTTCCCATCGGTTGGCGACCCACCAATCCATGCCCCAGCCCTGGCGGATGTGGTCTCGAGCATCCATTCAAGATGCCTTCAATTCGCAATACGCAACCGCCTCGTGTTTCTCCACGCTTGTTTGACCAAGCTCTCACGATACGTATCGATTCGTGGCTCAGGGGCGCCATACCGGGAGGCTCAGAGTTCTTTTGCCGAGTCTGTTGGATTTTCGTTGTCGCTTCGGCATGAGGCACCTCGAAACAGGGACCTCAATGCTGGATCCAGCCAGGACAATTTGATGTTAGAGATCCAACTCAGCGCCGCTTCCAATTGGCTGCCCTCCCCCTCCCTGACTTTGACGGTTCCAGCAGCCCCCAGTCGTACTTATTATTCTCGCCCGCCACCACGACCAACATGCCGTGGTCTTGTCCTGTATGACCAAGGCCAGCGGGTCTCCTAGGAGGATCATTGGACACTTGCGATGTGGTTCGGCTGTCTTCTTTCAAGCCTGAACATGTGCCTTTTGTTCAGCTACTGTTCCTTTCATCGGCGATGGTCAGACGCGTCTCTGGAATGACGAAACATACTGACACTTGGCATCGCTTGACCTGCGTGTGTTATGGTACATGCGACGACTGGCAAGTTGAAGCCACCCCGATGCGGATAGCGATTGTCTTGGGCACAAGACGCCCTCAAGTTAATAGGCTGCACGAGCCCAGAACTAGCACCCGGTGCCGGTCCGGAGCTTTGCCCTAGACTAACACCGTGACACCGGGACTCTCGGTCCGCAACACCATTATTCTTTCTGGTTGCCGAAGGCAGCATGTATCCATCCAGCTTGTTGATGGAACGAGAGACGATACGATACCCCCGTCCACGAGTCAGGGAGGCGTCTATTTGCAGCGATAGGGCCGCGGCCACAGTTGCTCCTGATTTGACGGGCGAGAAGCAAGCCAACAGCAGCATGTTCCGCAACAACAGTTTTGGGTTCAGCATGCCATGGCCGGCTGCCAGGCAAAGAGAGACAGGTGTGATCCACTAAAGTTTTGCCATTCTAAGCAAGCCACCGCTCATGGCTTGGGGCTCTCGTCTCATCAATGACCGCTCCAAGCCCCTCGGCTCGAGGTAAGATGCGCGAATATGTTTATCGACGGGATGGGCGAGGAATTTGTGATGCAAGGATGCCCAGGCCGGGTTGGAAATCCCACGCTTGCGGCCCCCATCACCAAGGCTGCTGGTGCTGGAGCTGGGCATGACCCATCTTGAGACTGTGAGGGTCTCGAGGAGATGAGATTGTCAGGGCGGATCATCCCCCGCCAGACTATCGATCTCGACCTCTGGCGGCGCTGAGGTCACTTCATGGGCTTATGCAGATCTCTTCCAAGAACCCCCTTGGGCAGAGGTTGAGCTTGAGGTGCACTACACTGCACAGCCAACTCCGACGAGCCTCCCGTGTTGTTTTGGTGGCTGCGCAGTCTCGCCTCGAGTAAAGCCCACATCATCCTTGCTCAATGCTGCTCGCCTTTCCAGGCTCGTGGCAGGCTGATGAGTCCAGGCCGTGCCACAGCATCTCATTCTTGAGGTGTCTGTCGGTAATTATTCCAATCAGAATGCCGGGTAGCCTGCTCCAGCCTGACCTGCCTGTTGATTCCGAGTGGGTGATATCACGACAGGGAGAACCGCTGGTGGTTCTCCGTATCCGTTGAATGTACACAAATGTGTATCCCTCATTTCGATATGGATACTCTGTACTTTGACTTGCAGCACTCCTACCGCTTAATCGTGTCTGGGCATCTCTTTGCTGCAGAGCCAGGTCGGCCCAGGAAATGGTTGGCGGACAAGATAGTGAACCGCCCTTGGCGATGTCTCGTCGGCCGGGGAGCGACAAGAGGCTTTGCGTCAGGATCTCCAAATGTCAATGCTCATCGCTGTGTTGTTGGTGCCGGTTTGTCGGCAGGCTACTCAGAGAGGTCATGATCGATGTAGATCAACGGAAAGAGTTCCCAAGGGGTGTCCGGTGATTCAATTTGACCATCTTTGCTCGAGGCCCGTTGAGAACCATGAGGCTGCATCATGGTGTAAGTCCGGGGAGATAGTTGCCCTGGCATAGGGTAGGTTGTCCATGGGTGGATAGTGGTCAGGCCGGTTGTTGATGGTACCAGACCCCGGTCCTATAGACTCGTGCAGTTCCGTCTTGAGTTGTCACCTGAATCACGGCTGGCCATTCATGTCGTTATTCACACACCATCTGTTCATGGCGAAGCTCTTCTATCCATGAGGGCGGAGAGGCGGCAAACTAGCTAGCATCTAGGATGCTCCAGGCAGGGAGAACAACAAGCTCGCCGCGGGGCATATCATCCATCTGGTTTAGGCGCTATGAAGAAGGATCAGTGCATGGATTTGAATAACTAGGGCACTCTGAAGCCGCCGTAGCACGGGGGAGGGGGGCTCATCAACCTGGCAATGGTGGCGTGACAGGGAACCATTCTTGTCATCCCGAGTCCGCCCAGTCTTAGCACACGAGAGGTCTCAGAAGGGGAGATGATTTCGGCCCCCCCAGCCATTAACCTGCGACTCGAGCAGCTTCTGACAGAATAACGTGTCGAAAAGTCTTGGATTTTTTTTCTGTTATACCGCCACTGCAGGACGGGGAGTGAGCCAACAACGCCCCCGGCCGGGGGGTTGATAAGGTGCGTGATGTGAGTGAGATCGGACCCCCCCAAGCTCCATGACTTGACTTGTCAAAGGATTGGGGATCCGAGGCTCCGTCACCCGTGAACTGGTCCCAAGGTTTCGAGAATCGGAACGTCGACGGTCAACACGAGTTATGACGAATCCCGTACAAAGAACGTCTCAACAAAGTCCTGCCTGGCGCATACCCCCGGTTCTTCGATCCATGGTTTTTTCCCTTCTTTTCTTTTCTTGCTTTCGTCCTTCGGTTCTCCTTGCACTAAACCGTATCCCCTACCGGGCCCTGGAAAGATTTGTTGGTTGAACCACACACACCCCCATGTCGTGTGGACCGACCCAAAAAGCTTCACCCCCTCAAAAACTGGGCTTGGGGCTGGCAAACGGCCGGAGATGGCAAAGTTGCAGCCCGTCGTTTGTTTGTGTTGGGTATTTTTATGTGATATTCTTTACTAGAGTTTCAACGCTTTGGTTGGGTTTTGTCGTTTGTTGTTAAAAGGGGGTGGTGGCATGGTTCTGGTCTAAGAAGGGAAACAAAGTGACGACAAAAAAGGGGGGGGGGTGTAGGTTTAGGTCCAGCTGAATGGCTCATCCTGCAAGCACTTTACGCGGTCGGCGCGTTGGACGAGGGAGAGAGACTGACGCCATGGGAATCCTTCTCTCTCTGGCTGGCCTCTTTTTTTGAGGGGTGTTGTTGGTCCTCGTTCCGTCTCAGCGCTCGGGTTTTTGGTATTCCGTTCTTCCTTCCGAGCTTGCAACTTCTGTGCATCAACTAGCAAGGCAAATCATTGGGCGTATGACAATGCTGCTGATGTCTCGTGGGGGGAGGGGCGGCGTCAGCATTCTGCCGAGGGAGGGGGGCAAAGGGGAAACGCCTTGTTGAAGCGATCTTCTCTCACTCGTGCATGCGTCAGATCGACCCGAGTCGAGTTTGTGTGTGCATTTCTCTCTCTCTATTTTCGCCTGTCTCACATTTATTTTCTTTGTTGCCTCTCTACTGACTGGCTCACATGAGCGTGCATGTGTGTAAATGCGGGTTTCAAAGGTTACAGGTTGTGAGTTGTGACTGAAATCAGCCATGTCCTTGTTTATGACAAAAATCATCAAGGCAGAAACAACCCGTGATTGGCGAGTTTGCCGCTTCGCCTTGCAAAGCAGGGCTCGGCGTAACTTGTTCCATCTGCATATCATGTCTGAGAATTCCCAAGCACATTCTACCACTGTTGCCTGTCTACCTCAGCTTGTCCGCCCTCGCCCAGTCATCGTCCGAGACGCCCTTGACCTGGGTCAGGTACTCGCTGAACTTCTGCGATGACCTTAGGGCGTCCCGCATGTGCTGATAGCGGAGCGTCTCTTTTCGGAACTTGGCCAGGTGCCGCGCCATGGTGATGATGTTGCGGATCTCGCGTCCGTTGATCTCGTCCCGCGCTAGCTTGGGCAAGTTCATCTGCAGGTCCTCCATGTCGACGCGGTCCTTGGTGCGAGGAAGCATCTGTACAAAGTTGCCCCAGATCTTGAGCCGGTCCTCCTCGTCAAGTGTCGGGTAGCCCAAGGCCAGTTGGATGCGTGACTTGAAGGCTTCGTCAAAGCTGCCGATGCGGTTGGTCGTCAAGATGAGGATGCCATCATAGTACTCCAGGATACGGAGGAAGACTGCCAGCTGTAAGCATGTATCCCGAGAGGGGATGGGGAAGTTGTACTTGAAATGATGGCATTTCGCTTCTGGTCTGAAAAGGACCTCTCCTCGAGAAAGACGTCTGCCTCATCGAGAAGGACGACTGGATGAGGATCAGCAACAGCTCTCCAATTAGTGACTGACAGAGTCCCCTACCGCAACCCCAGGCTCTCCCTATCTCCAAAACATCGCCAAGATACTGCTCCCAATTAGCATATAGACCGGACCAGGCGAGGGTGACAGAGTTACCTGCTCTACCTCCTTAGGCTCAGTCCCGATATCGCCGCACGTCACCCTATACAAAGGCCTCTCCTGCTCCTCGGCGATACTTTCTGCCGTCAGAGTCTTTCCAGTTCCAGGTCCGCCGTGAAGCAAGACTAGAAGCCCCTGTCCTTTACCTTCGATGATATCGAGCCCCATGTTCTTCCTTTCTCCATGGGCTGACACCACGGCCTGGATTAGCTCTTTAGTCTCAGGGGGCGCGACAAGCTGCGAAAACGCCCTCTTGTTCCAAGTAACATCGCTGATTCGGTCTACTCGTAAGGTCTCTATTGCCTGGTCAGTGAGTGCTGTGACGTTGCTTCACCCCTGAAAATACTGACTCCAGGTCTTGGCGGTGAAATCAAATCCGTGGATGATCGGCGGTAAACAGTAGAGGAAATCCTCGGGTGGTTCCTCAATCTTGAGTAACCTATCGTTTTCGAAAGGCCTGTGAAAAATGCCGTTGGTAGGGTGTAGGCGCCTATACATGTCGTAGTCGATCATGAATCGCCTCTCAGCCTGTTCGACATTAGGAAGGTTCTTTGATGGGATAGGATAGAGACAAACCTGAAAGACACTGTCTGCGCCATACTCGTTGTAGCAGACGAGTTTCTGACGCTTGCAAGCCCAGAACCTTTGTCCTCTGGCAATCAACTTTGCTTTGGTGCCCCCCGGAGCGAATCGTAGTGGGTAGCATTTAAGGCTCGTTATGTCTACGAGCCTGTTGTACTGGTAACGGGTACGGTCAGGCGCTGATGGCATGGCAAGAATCTGTATGAGACGACAGAGGCTGCCATTGAATTCCCAGGCGACGTAACGGCGACCAGTTCTGACGTCTGCGTCTGGGAACCAAGGGATAATGCCACCACTTTCTGGCCCATTAATACCAGGGAAAAAGACCAATTCTCCAGGCCGGAACAATGCCTTGAGATGTTTTGTGTTGACCTTGCCTTGGGCAAATAAGGCATCGGCGGCGTCCCATTCCTCCCTGTAGTTGTCCTCCATCCACTGACATAGCAACCGGAGTGACTCTCTCATAGAGTCGCCCATTTCAACCTCCTCGAGAGCCTCGACGAGCGTCTTGCCATACAGGTGGAAGAAGGAGTATGGTTTCGGAATCTCTTCGAAGCGATCCTCCATCGAATCGGCGCCTTCCCACCCAAGAAAGTCGGGAGGGTTCTGAAAACCAGGAAACCGATCGGGAAATACCTCGAGAATGGCCTTGATTCCATCCTGTGTAGCTTTTCCGACTAATATTTCGCTCTCTTCAGGCTCTTCGGGGTAATAATCTTGCCTAAGAACCAGACCACGAGGCCCAACTTGCCCTTCCTTAGTTAGCACCCAATGGACTATTCCCTTGTTACACTGATAGGCTTTTCCAACCGCGAATGCTAGCTCTGGATGACCTTCAAGGTATTCTTCGTCGTCAGGGATTTGAACGGTTCCTCTGAAATGGCAGTTTTCATTGTCGCCCTTGAAAAGTTGAGGAGGGTCCAAGTAAAACCTCGTCGTTTGCCCTTCTTGCATACACTCACAGCTCACGCGATACAGAATTGTAAACTTGATAGGTTCGTGGGAGCAATGGGACACGGTTAAATCATGAACGGCCTCCTCTTCCTCACCCCCCGGGGATGTATGCTGCGTTGTCTTGATATGCTGGAGTTCTTCCTGGAGCAGCTCGTTCTCGACCTGAAGACGGGAAACTGTAGACACAAGATTATCCATAACTCGAGAGGTTGCAGAGTCTGGTTGAAAATCTTTACCAACCAAGTCACTTAACTTGGCGGTAAGCTGTTCGGAAAGTCGTTGCGCAAGGTCTGCGGCTGGAGGATGGATCATCAAGTGTTAACTAGGTATGTGCCATGGCATTCACAGAGGATTGGATATCGTACCTTTCTCCCCAGAGAAAACCCCATTACCCCCCTCTCCATCATCAAACTGACTATGATCGTGGCCGTTGTATTCCCTTGGTAGCCCCGGTGGGCGCGTTGAGGGTTGAACTTGTATCGTATCGAACCCCGGGTTATCGAGGTGTGGTGGATCAGGGCGTGGCGGCTTGGGGGGTTGCGGATAGAATGCTCGTTCGTTCTTTGCTTGGGCCGCTGCATTGACGTTTAGTTGCGTCCATTAAATATGGCCGGGCTCTGTAAACGGACTTGAAAAGACATGGCCATGATAGTCCGAATGATCTTGCGAAATAGTTTTGTCCATGGTCGAGGTGATTTCTGATAGTGGGTTGTAGAAACCGCGCGCTCTTGGGACAGCGGCCATGCTAACCTCCAGGCTCTGGGCGTTGTTTGAATCTCGAGACACCATTCTAAGGAGAATGTTAAGTAGGTAGGTAGGTATGGAGGTATGGAGGTAGATTAGGTAGGATACAGAAGATCCTGTAGGAGCACAAGATGGAAGAAATGGAAGAATGTGCCCAAGGAAAGATCAACCACAGACGAGGCAGTCGCAGTCTGTAGCTCGACGTGGCAGGCACGTAAGCGCCCAGAGGCGGGGTAAAAGCCTCGGAATGGATGATCAGAATCGATATCAATCTGCAGACTCAGCCTCAGGCGTTTTCGCATTGGACTGGTTGTTGCTGCATGGGTAGACAGCCTTGTTGAGAGCCTGGTCGCAGGCCGCAGGCCGCCCAACCACCTAGGCTCTGCCATTTTCAGGCTGCGCCCTGTTCGATGGACATAACTATTGCGACTATCATGAGAAGAAAGTGGCTAAATAAAGAAGACTGAATGATTCCGAATCGTATTCCTTTTGTATACGATTCGCTGCTTCGAGTTTCACATCTCCTATTTCTGCGAAGACTAAGTCGCTAGAGTCAAGTAAGAGAAGCTGTTATGGCAACACCTAACCTAGAAGAATGTTCGCCGAGAGTAAAGGCCTGGTTTGAACCAGAAAACCAGGAGAACCGGTATGATACACCAGTCCTAAAGACACTCACACGTGTAGACAAAGGCTGACAGGGTTTGTTTAGAGGTGATCCGGAGAAGATTCTAAACGAGGCATTCCAGAAGGCACTGCAGTTCAACCGCGAACAAGCAAAGAAGAACCGAAAACATGAATTTCCATCATTGTCGTCGACAATGGACAGTGTGTTGGACGAGGTACGCAAGGCCGAGGAGCAGCACATCGCGAAGAAGAACTCAAGACACCGATTCACAAAAGCAATGGGCACGGCTTGGACTACAGCCGTCAACAAGATCAATAATTTTAGCACAACTATTGACGTTCTGGTATCGAGCCATCCAGAATACGCAGCACTCGTCTGGGGATCTATGAAGTTCCTGTTCTTGGTGAGTGTGGCCGTGAAACTTATATGGATATCACTGAGACTCTCTACATAGGTGACTTTGAACCATCAAGAACTTTCAGGCAAGATTTCCGAGGCATTCTCTAACATCAGTGACGCCCTTCCAGAGGTAGATTTCCTAGCCAGCGAACTATACCCAGTACCTCGTATACAGACTACTTTAGCAACCATCTACAGTCATATCATCGACTTTTGCACCCGGGCTCTGAGATGGTATATTAGGACAAGAGGGAGCTTTCTTAAGAAAACGTGGGCGGCGATCAAGGACCCATGGGCTCTGGAGTTTGATGATGTTGTGCATCAAATACGACACGCAACTACGAGGATACGAGAGCAGGCGGCGGTCGCCCATCAAGCCGAGACGAGATATGTCAGCTCTGTCGTCTCGCAAGTACAGAAAGAGGTTCTGAAGTTGCAAAGAGAGAGGAGCGTGCCTATTTCCTCTTCTGGGGCCCTGCTAGGTGAGTTATCAAGTGGAAGATGAGACAGTCGAGTGTGGTTCGCTGACTTGAATCTAGGTGGTGCTACTCTTTCGCCCCTAAGCCAGCCTTCATTGCTCGGAAGAGCTCCTCTTGTGATAAAAGAGATGGCCAAATACTTCTTATCTGTACCGTTCAAGCCCGAGAAGGCTCTCGATTTAGGAAAGACATTGAGGGATCGCCGACGGATGCGAGGAAACCCCGTCCCAGACCAGCTCTGGACATCAGCCAAGCTACGAGACTGGATCTCTCAGCCGTGTTCGGCGCTTGTTCAAATACAAGGGAACTTGGTAGCGGCAGATGCTTCCCGGGACTTTGCCCTGGACATTGTCGAGCTAGTGAAAGGGGCTGACCTACCTTTGGCTTGGTATGTGAGTTCACAGTTGGAAAAGCCCATGGATATCCCGGACATCTGGCGCTCTCTCGTCTGGCAGGTTCTCGAGAAAAACTCGGACAGTTCCTCGTACAAGAACTTGACCGAATCCAACTTCAACTCTTGTATCACGGAAGATGACTGGATTCCCCTTCTTGTTGCTGTTTTAGCCGAGATACCGCGGGCAGTTCTAGTCATCGACTCTAACCAAGACGAACGGAAGATTCGGGAGACCGTGAGGAAGTTTTGGAACACTTTCACTGAACGAAAGGTGACTACCATAGTCAAGATGCTCCTGCTGACCTACTCAAACCCCGGGGCGCCGATGCCAAGCATGCTGCCCAACGACGACGTGGAGTTTTACAGTCTGAAGATGGGCCGTGATAGGAGGCCCGGTATGGCGAGGGCTTCAATGTATGGGAGCCCGAGGGGGCGAAGGCAGGTGGGCGGGCGACGGGGTGGGGGAGCGTCTCAGCTCAAGCCGTTCATGGCGAAGCTATTGGAGCAGGGGACAGTTGGATCAGACAAGACATGATGGTTGAAACGACAGGAGTAAGTGTTTGGAGTAGGTAGGCCAGCGGGGGACATAAAACACGAGACCCAGGGAGGCGAGCGCACAGTCAATTCAGTCTCGTGTGTTTTGTCCTCCGCTTGGTAGTGGAAGTGAAAGGGAGGGATTGGGCATTGATGAAGGCAACGAGGCAGACTGTTTTTCTTTTGCATGTAAGAAGCAAGATCTAGATGAGTCTACATGTTATATATGGCCCCTAGATCAGAGAATTTACCCACCTTACAAAACGCAAGTTATCACGAGGCTCTTTCAACCAATACCTGTGAGTCCAATCCAGGCCATGGTCGGGATATTGATAGCCGGGATGTACACAACTCAAATCACTCAGATGATAGGTTAGAAGAAAGAGTGCCTGTAGGATTTCCCCTCCCAAAAGAAAGCACCTCCTCAGCCCGTGGGTAAACTGACAACGCAGTCGCCCGAGGCCAGACGGAGCTATCTGCATACACATTAGAGCTGAAGCTGCACCTCGACCTGTCATGATAAACTCATGACGAGTTGCAGATCCTGCTCATTGGTAGTCTTGAGCTGCATGTTGATCATCCCCCCTTTGGTCTACGCCCTGTCAGTTACTGTACTACCCCCGTTTCTTGGCTGCCTCTTTCTCCGGCGGGTATCTCTTTCTTTTTTTCAGATGGACAAATCATGAAAGATCTGATTGTAAGGACCCTTTTTCGTTTCATGTTTACTCGGAGTTCGGCATCGCTTGAATAAGTGGGATAAAGTGGGCAGTGACAGACAAAGACATGGATGTGTCTAAGAGACAAGGACCACGGCAGCGGATGTGCGCAGTATCATCATCGTCATGACCGCTCAAGAAATGCTTTTTCATTATCTTCCGCTTCAGCCGCAGGAGGTGAGACCAATCTGGCGGTCACCAGCTTCTGATAGAAGGTGTGTAATGCGCTGGACACTTCTCCTGCAAGTCATGCTGTGCATGAGGATGATCAGCGAGCCCTGATTTGCTTCCCTTGAGCTCCCCGCCATCTACCAGAAAGTGATCGACACTCGCTTCCTGGAACACGGCTTCCCTCCATCTCGTTGTAAGAAGAGTCGCTTTAAGCGCCGGCTCGTAATAAGTGTCCCTAGCTGACCACATAAACATGGCCTCTTTTCCCTCATTTTCGTCATGTTTCTTCTTCCTTCTTCATCATACCAAAAAGTAAAGAACCATTCCTTTTACGGCTTCTCCGTTGCTTATACGTCATCGTCAACGTTTAGCTAGGACATCCCTGCAAGTTCCCCAGCACGAGACACCGAAACCGAGCTCAGCGATTGGAACGCACACTCTCTACCACTGGCGTGTGATTGATTGCTTTGTCTTCACCTCCGCTTGCTTGCTCGCCGTCGCCGAATCCCGACTCGGGTTGTAAGTCTGGTGGACGCTGACTCTTTTCAACACCGCCGGTCCATCTCCGATCGGCCGACTTCTTTCAAGTCGGTCTATTTAGCTTAAAAATCACCGGGGCCAGATTAGCGATTAAAGACAAGAAGCATCAGCACGCAATACAAGCTTATAAGCATCATCAGAGTTGTCGAGTCTTTGATTACAAAAGCACCTTGACCACAAGCCTACAACAAGACGACAATATCCAACATAACTACAAACACATCTTTTACAACATCAGAAGAACAGAGTCTTGAAAACTTGACTGAAGAGGTTATGGACCGCTCTCGTTCATTCTCGCGGCCAAGCACTGGCAACCGCAAGCCAAGATCATCATCTCCCCCTGCTACCAGAGGCAGAGCCACTTCTCGCCCCCGTCCTGTGTCCTTCCATCCTAGTACCCGTGGCGTTTCTCGGTCAAGGTCGGGAGTGAGAAGATCGTCAGAATCTAGCTCTCGTTCATCCTCTTACTCTCCCACTCGCCGTCCCAACCACAGCCACCATCGCCAACACGACAGTCAACATGGCAACCAGCACAAGAGCAGCCACGGCCAGTCTCATAAATCATCACACAGCGAGCATCACCACGGCCTCTTCAAAACTTCCGCCGGTCTCATAGCCGGCATCGGCCTCGCCACGGTCCTCGCCCACAAAGTTTGGCCAAAGGGCGTTCTCTACGGCGACGCTGAAGAGTGGGAATCCCGTCCTCACCCGAAACACCGCCACTCGGACCGTCACGAGCACCACCACCGCCATCGCCGCGCTTCGGATGCCGAGCGTGCCATCGATCGCGCCAGACGTCACGGCGGCGATGTTGTCTACTACGAAGAGATCGGACCCTTCCCAGGTCGGAGACGCTCCGCCGCTCTTCAGAGTTACGAGAGACTATCCCCCGCTGAAGAAGAGAGGATACGTCGGATGTCCCGGGACGAGCAACCCCGTGTGGGACGTCTGCCCTATCCTGATGAACCCTACCCCGGCGAGAGCTTCTACGAACCCGAGCGCAGGAGACATTCCATGGCTCAACCAGTTGCTGTTCCCCGCTGAGCGAGAGACTTGATGAACAAAAGTGGCTTCAGCGAGCGTCAATCTAAAACTTGATACGTTTTACGTCGGATGGGATAATGAATGAAATGAGTTTCTTTGTGTTACGGGATCTTGTTAGTTATTGGGAGGTTAAGATTGTTTATCTGGGCTGGCACCTTTCGTTACTTGGCAATTTTGATATCCGATACGAGACAATGATTTGACGGTTTTAGTTATTTTTACTCCTTTTAAAACGTTGCTGCTTTAGAAATACACATTTATATATTGTGCCGTTTCAAACTAATCAACTCTTTGTCATGCGCTGTCCACCAACGCCTTTGCAATGACCCCAAACCGTTCCTATATGTTTCAATCATAGAGTTCAAAGTGAAACTCGCACGTTTAGTATACGTCATCTTCTCCGCATTCAACATCGTTAAGCCAAGCTTGATCCAGGGGACGATGGACTGCTTGGAGCGCTCTCCACACTCTCCTTTGGTCTCATGGCCTCCACGGCCTCCTGCCAAGTGTCACCGGCGGTACGTCTCACAAATGCTGTGTTGAGACAATCGCCAAAGTATCTTTCCCGTCGAGTTGTCCTCCTCTCACCTCCTTCCAGAGCCGAGTATGCGCTGCGAGTGGTACGCATTCTCTTTCTCTTTCCACCCTCACTCAAGAGGTTGCTCAATTTGAGTCTCTCCTGCATGAGCTTGTTGTCAAACTCCACAATGCCTCGCACCCATGGAGCAATGTCCAACACGATGAGCTTTGTGGTGCGATCAAATACTGATGGATCCAGATGGCTGGATGCCGCTGCCTTTTCATTAACAGCAATCGGGTCGAACGCTAGCGCCAGATCCATCCGAGTCATAGGGGTCGTGCAATTCTCGAAAGACTCGTCCAGAACTGAGACTGCGCGATCCTCCGCCAATGGCTTGAGGGTGGAGGATGTTACGTCGGTTGTGGGAAACAGGTTGAAAAGTCTCTGCCTGGTTAGGGATTTTAGAGAGATCGAGAGGCCAACGCTGGGCGTAGATGGTGTTGACTTGGGATCAGCCTCTAGGAGGCGACGGCCCACAATGAAATCATCTCTCGTCTTGGTCGGAATTTCGGGTAGTTCTGGATCGAGCACTTCCTGGAATCTGGTTCCTAGCGAGCCACTCGAGATAAGATCCGCGTCGCTCATCGAAGTGTAAAACTCGTCGAATGCCGCCAGAGTGTCAAGTCTCTGTCTGGGCTCTGATGCGTTCCTGGTTACATCGTCGGCCCAGGATTGGAGATGCAAGCTGCTGTTCCAGTCACCCATGTCAAGTGCCCATGAGTTCCAACACTGCTTCATCACCTCTTCTTCCGACTCCAATGGGTCCAGGCATGTGGCAGTGAGATCACGCCCGATCCATCCCATGCCCTTGCGGTAAGTGTCTTCACTCAAGACTCGAACCACATCCCCATTCTCATCTCGGTCAGAGCCCTTGGGCCATCGGAGATAGAACCAGTCGAAACCACCTTTGCGATCTCCAACACTAATCTGGCACCAGTAGTTGAGTTCTACCAGGGTAGCTCTCAAGTCGTTGTTGCGAGACTTGTATAGGGCCTCGACGGCCGAGCGCTTTAGCAGATGGCCCTCATTTGCTGCAACAAGTAGGCAGTGATCGATAGCCAGGTCGGTTGGTGGATGAGAGAATCGGAAGATGCCGTGCAAGTTGAGGGTCTGGAGGGGTACCATGTTCTCGTCGTTGCAGGTCATGATGAATGGCCTCTTCGATTGTACCATCATGCCCACCAAAGTCGCCCAGAATTGCTTATCCTCTTCGTAGAGAACATCCACCTCCTCTAAAAGGATGAGTGACTGCTTCTGGCTCTGGCTTCCCTTGGTTGTTTCAATTGACTTCGCTTCGGTAGACTTCTTGGTTGGCTTCTTCGAGGCGGCTGCTGCTTTGGGCTGGAAAAAGGCCGTCATCATGCCCTGCTTCCCCGACTTCAAGTCTCTGGCCACTTCATCCTCTTCTGCCTCTGTAGTAGGGTCGGCGCGGTGATGTTGAACGAGATGGTTGCGCGTCATATCGCCAACTTTCTCCAGAATATCCTTGCCGCTTCGCCTGCTTCCCGGGTTGATCTCGAAAATCTCGAAACCCAACTCCTTGGCTACAGCGTAGACGGCAGCTGTCTTGCCGCTGCCATGGGGTCCGCTAATCACCACCGCGTTCGTGAGACGTCCTTGATCTTTTCCTCCCTTGGCAGCTGCATCTCCGCTTCGGATAACCGTCTTTTTCGTGAATCCTGAGCCAGCAGGCGCCCAGTCATCGTCATCTTCGGATACCTCGTCCATCTCATTCGCTTCCTCTTCACTGTCGATAATAAAGCCATCCAGCTTATCCTTCTTTCTCTTCTTCTTGGGAGCAGCAGACGATTTTGCCTTTCCCTTTGCCCCTCCTGCGTCAGCACTGCCGGTGCCGACAGACTGAACCGTGAGTGTTTGCAACCATTCTTTGAGGAGAATAGCCTCCCTGCCAGCTTGGAGAACTTCAGCCGCTGTGCTTGGAGCGTACTTGTGTGTCCAGGACAGACTTTCGCATGCAGACTTGTCATATGCGGAAAGATTGGTCTCGAGTCCTTCATATAGTCTAAGAATGGCTGGGTGTGTTCTTTTCGGTTGAGCACTGGAAGCCCCAGGTCCTATTACGTCGTCGTCCTCCTCGGCAGCGGCAAGTCGCAATGTCCGAAGTTCTGACCGGATGCGCTTCTGAGCTTTACGGCCACTTTCAAAATGTCTCGTCGGGATTCGTAATTCTGTTGGTGCTGGCTCGAAGTTGTCATCATTTGTAGGAAGCGAGTTGCGGAGAGCAGTGAGATCCATGCTGGTGCAAAAGCCCCCCAGAACAGATTCGTCAGGCGAAACTGTAACTGTATAGCCCTTTGACTTCTTGGCGGCGTTGTCCTGAGCGGCAGTCTGAGAACAAACTGAACATTCAAGTCCACGAACGTGGGCCATCCCCTTTGCAGGCCAGAGAGGATATACGGCCCCAGGAATCTTTGTTGTGCCAGTTCTAATACCAAATCGTGGGACCTGATGGTCATGGGTGAAAGGGTTTCGTGTCTTCTTCGGGGACAATGGCGTAGACATAAAGACTGTCTGTCGAGAGGGCCGGTCCTCAGCCGTTTTATGGTTCTCGCTTGTGGCGGGTGTCTGTTTCGCCTTTCCGGTGAAGAAAGGATGCGTAGTTTTGGCCGGACCAGGTGCTTTCTTAACAACACTTTCTTTTGGCTTCTTGGCTCGGCTCTTCGAGGAGTTTGGAGAAAATAATGTCTTGCCGTCCAGGATTTGAGTGATCTTATCACCCATGTCCTTTCGACTCGCTTCATCTCGGCCATACTTGACGCACACTATGCGGGAAGGAAGGATTTTCGACTTGGGTTTGGGTGGTGATCCAAGTGTCCCTGTTTTCGGGTTCCATTTGAGAACCTTTTTATTTGCGGCATCGGGTGGGTTCGAGGTCGAGACTGGTGCTTCGAGGGCAGACTGTGAAGGGGCTTCGGCGGAAATCATAGGCGCATCGCTTAGTGGAGGAGTCGGAATGTCGGTGGTGTTAGGTTCGGGAGTTATATCTGCAGCCTGCTCCATGGGAACGAGGGTTGTTTGTCGCCCTTCCCCTTGGCGTTTTCGGCGTGGTCTCTTAGAACCGGGAGCATCTTGTGCAACAGAGCTGTCCGGCTTTCGACGCTTTCGCCGGCCGTTTGGCGAGTCTGACTCCGATTGAGCGCTGTCGTGCTGGTCATCGTGGTCCGGAGCTGTAGGGGGTTGGGCCGAGGGTTCGGAGTGGCGTGCAGGGTCAACGATAGGTTCTTTGGAGAAGAAAGGATGAACCTTTTTGACTCCAAGTTCCCTCATGCCTTCCTGCGCCATCGCCTCGACCAGAACGGATCCCATTGATACGTGAAAGGCTGTTCCGAGGAAGCATCAGCATAAGTCGAGTGGGCGTAAGAGTTGAAGATGACGAACCTCCCAGTCAGCGTTAAACCACCATTTCACGAATAAGGGCCGTAGAGCGGTATTCGATAGTGACGGAAGATCCGAAAATTGGAGCGAATGGAGCGTTCGAAGGAAACCGGGTCCTTTGAAGGTGGGTGTAGTTTCGTTGAAGACGGCGAAGAAAACGGAATCGTCCTGGGTAACGGAGCACGGCCAAGGGTCGCGTTAAAGTGGTTGAGCTCCGACGCGTCGATTTGACGCGCGCCGCGAAAACGGCCGGTACGTACCTCCGCTACGTCAGGGATTCTGCAGGTGGCAGGCACGACCCCACCACCCAGGCCGAAGAGGCCCCACTAACCGGACTTTGGGTCGGCCCGCTCCCAACTTTTTTTTTTTGAGAGCTTCACCTGTCGGCCATTTGAAGAAAAGTGCAGGCGACAGCACCAGACTTTTGTCGAGAATTGCAATTCCCAAGGCCAGCGGTATCTTTTGCGCCTCACGATACCGAAATCGTCATGGCTTCTGAATACAGAATCCATAAGCCTTATGTGCTGGCGGCTCTGCCTCGGCCTCTCGATCATACTGAAGGCCGCATTGTCGCGCGAGAGGTCTACGGCTTGCGCGACGGCCAAAAGAAGAGGAAGAGGACGGAACTGGTCGTCGGTGTGGATGGAGAGACTGCGAGTATCTACGATGTAAGTATTATGGTCAATATTATACTCAGGAATGGTGCTAATCGCAAACAGGTCCCTGCATCAAGACTGATCACCTCGTATCCCATCCCGCCGCAAGAATCTTTCACCTGCCCCCCTTACTCGATTAGAATTCGGCGCGCTGGCAGCAGCGATGTTTCCAGATATACCTATATCTCTACTCGCGATTCGACAGGCCAGAAGATCTCTCTGTTCAAGGATGTTGTGCACCAAGACGGCAAGACAACCTCCACCTCGACCGCTTCTCAAATCCTCAAAGTCTCACCCATCCGATACATAACATGTTCCTCGAATGCGTCAGAAACTTCAAATGTGGGGGATATAATCGCGGTCTGCCAGAATGGAGAATTTGCTTCTCTTTCAGGGGAGACTCTCGCGGTTCAATGGACAGCTTCGTCCAAGTCCGCTGTTCAGGACGTTGTCGCAACGCAGATCGAGGGTTTCGAAGTGGAACATGTGACCTCAGGAACCCTGGCTGAGTTCAGCGAGGGTATTTTCAAGGACAAGCCAGAGATCTTCAGTGCTCTGCCCAAAACTCCTGTTTCTGAGCCTGAGCTGATTGCGCTGGTGTCGAAGTCTGTCAGCCAAGGCCAGGAGAGTCGACACTCGGTTATCCTGGCTGCTGCTTCGGGAGTTTCTTCCGCTTCATCTGACATTCAGAAGTTGGCGCCCCTTGAAATTGCCCCTATTGGTGCTTCAACGACCCAAGGTGCCGAATCATCTACCTACCAAGTCGACATCCAAACTGCCCTCTTGATGCAGTTGCAGCAAGGCTCTCTCAAAGTCTACGACCTCACCACACCTGTCCCAAAGCTCAAGTCTACGGTACACATGGAGAACGCGGTGTCCTTTTCTCGCCTGTCCCGGCCCTTCGTTCTGTCATGCTCACTTGAATCCATTGGCCTCTACAACCACCAATACCGCTCGATCCATGCGAATGCGCCCCTTGATCTATCTGAACTCCCCGCTGAGTGCCAAAAGCCCAAAACGTGTCAGTTGATCAGCTATCTGCGAAGCCAAGATCTTGTTGTCGCCCTGGTAGACAACGTCCTTGTCTCTATCCAAGTCGAACCGCCTAAGAGTCACGGGAAGCGACGGAAACAGGGTCTCTTGATTGACTCCATCGGTCGAGGAACTACCGTCGATATCACTGCGAAGAGGGCAAAGTCCGAGAAATTGGCTCTCGAGTTCTCCAAGCAGGTTCCTGGAACGATGACGGAGGAGTATCTGGCCAGGCTGCACGCTGGGCTCGACACAGCAGATGAACTTCTTGCAAAGGACGATCTCAGTGGATGGGAAACCCTATTGCGCAAACAATTCCGTATGGGTGTTCGATCTGTTCCTAATGGTGACGGCAAGGCAGTCAACGGGCAGGAGGACAAAGACTCGCAGGAAGTACCCGAGTGGGAATGGCTTTCAGGGCCGTCGTCATATGCCGTGGTCGACCGTCGTTGGGTGCTCTACGCGATTGGACGATGCTTTTCTATCACCGTGACTACAGACGAGGAACCTCGGCCAAAGCTACGCCTCAACTTGCCTGACAGCAACGTCACGTCCTACCTGGTCGTTGCAGGGCACCTGACTCTTTCGAACTTGAAGGCAGCATTCCGAGATGAATTCGACGCGGAAGCATTGGATAGCAAGAATCTCGCTAACGACGTGCTTTCGAGCCTGACCGACGCCGACCCGTCAATGACGCTCGTCCTGAACTATCTCCAGGCCACACAACTTGGCGAGCTTGAGCTTCTCGTAGCCATCCGAGCCCTCATGCTGAATCTGGATCTGATCTCCGACCCTAAGAAGCCGGCTGGGGCTAAGCTCTTGAAGAATGAGGCACATGATGGTGCTGAGAACTACGAGATGGACCTCGACGACCTGGAGCGGGACATTGCGATCACGGAATACTACCTCGGAGACGACAGCAGCAGCCGGTCACGGGGACTCACATTAGCCTTTGCCAAGCTTTGGAGGCTCCCGGCAATCACGACTGTGAAGGCTCTGCGGGCAACGTTCAAGACGGAAGAGATCCTATCACTCATTTACACACTGAGGGTGGAACTTGTCCGAGGGGCGTGGACATCGCTGTATATCGACCCAACCAGCTTTGATTCCGAGGGTAACGACCCGCCCCCGGACGGTGTGATCACATTGATCTCGGATCTCCTCGGTCGATGCCTCGATGCCGTCGGCGCCGGAGGATGGCTGCTGAACGACGCCATCTCAACCGATAAGTCCGAGACCGGCGACTTGTTGACGGCGCTGAAGCTTGAGGTTACTGCGGCGCTCGAGGGTCTAGAGGAGGCAGTGTATCTGAATGGTGTTGTTGGCGAGGCAGTCCGATTTGGGCTGGCGGCACAGAAGAGTGGTGCAGCCCGACAGACGTGGAACGCAAACAAGCCGATCCCGATGCACCTCGAGGGCCGGGAGTCTCGACTGTTGCCGCTGGGGCTCAAGACGAAGCAGCTCCCTACCAAGGACAAGGTGGTGTCGGGCGGCGAGGTGGTGCAGCGCAGCATGCGAGAGACGGGCCACCTGATCAGCCAGAAGGTGGAGGCATACTCGCTAGAGAAGCTGACGATCTAAGTCGTGTGGTCAAAGGGGATTGGGCCCGGAGCAACGAAGGTTTACTTTCAAGGCAACCAAAGGAGATGGCACTACGGAGGCTACCGTTTGATCCATGGGAGCACGTTGCAACGACAGCAGCCGGCGACACCACGGAAGCCACATGGCATGCGGCTGAAAAGCTGCAGCGGGCATCCTTGACGTCGACGGGACTAGCCTCGGCCTTGGCTTATCGCGGAGAGACCATTCGGTGAGCGGATTGGAAGAGGAGAGGCGAGACTAGACTACGCCCAGGGACCGTGGTGAAAAGGAGGCGAGGACGCGGGCCGTGGCAAGACAAAGGAGATCGGCTACACACGGCGCAGGGAAGATGAGGGGTGCGGAATTGACATTGGAACCTAGATTCGAATGGATCACATGTCGAGGGGACTTGGTTATCTACCAGGAATATGGCTGTTTCTCTTTGTGCGTTGTGTTGTGTTGATTGAAGATGAAGCTAGTATTTCAAAGGTTGGGGCATGTAGATGCATTTTGGGAGAAAGAGGCGTATCAAAAGAAAAGACGGCATGTTTGATTCCCACGTCACACTAAAGGCAGTGGCTCTGTGCAACCCATTTCACCGAAACTGGTTCTCACCGTGACCGAAAGTGCTCAGTCGTGCATCAGGCAGAGGATGCACATTTTAGGTATTGAACTAATAAATGCTCCTTTCGGGAGTTGCGAGGTGAAACGCGAAAAGAGACGGGACATGTTGTGCAGCTGTTGGGCTACCCTGAAGCGTTGCATGTGTGGATGATGGATGACGATGGCGTCTGCCTACCTGTCAGCCCTGTGTCTCTGGTTTACGTGCAGCAACATTGCAGGACTAGTCTGGTCATTGAGTTTAGGATGGGGTGGATGGCATGTGCAACGTACTGGATCTCGCAGTTGGGTGAGTCACTATCATTGCCATCGGAGCCCAATGGCTTCAAGTGCAGCAGAGCCTCGATCAAAGTGCAAAGGCATGACGACGGAATAGCGGCACAAGTTGCCAAGGATTATCAAAACAAAGTAAAAGATGACACTTTCAGATGGTTGCCTGCTAAAAAAACAATACGTGATGCTGCTCATCTCAGCCCCGTATTATCCCCCATTAAACAAGCACTGCCTGGCATGTCCATCTGCGGGAATCCCTAGCTACAGATTCGAATACGCGAAGCCGAGCTCCCCGTCCCGTAAGAACCAAGAGGCTCGGGAAGTCTGCGTCTGCAGCAAGCCGGGGGGGACGTGTTTCAAGGAATGGCTGACAATGAGTGGAGAGATGGTGGGAGTCAGACTGCAGGATGCAGGAGCCAGCAAACACGAAATTCCCTGCATATGGCAGATCGGGCCTTGGTTGTTTGTTGGTGGAGAAGAATGTGAGATGGGGAGTGGGTATTGGGGGACGTTACCCTCACGAGGACAGTAGAGAGGCAAAGTTTAGGGGAGCCCGAGAATGGCGAACCAGTTTTCTAGAAGATGTGGATGGCAAATTGGTGTCTGACAGTCGGACTCTACCGATGAAGCCAAGAGTAAGAGAACACACAGCCTGGTTCCTCTGATCCAGCCTGCCTGCCAGCCATTGCCCTGGCTGGCTGTGACGTTGGTGCCAGCAATTGGTGATGAAATGATGGACAGGAGCCGCGCGAGATGAAACCGTTGATCATCTTCAGGTATGCTCTATTTTAGGCCCTTGTGTCCGGATGAAAACCATATGAGCAGGGAGAGAGGCCATGGCCCTGGACCAGAGGACAGAAAATCCTGAGTTTTGCTTCCGGTGATCGTCATCTTGTCTTGTTCTTTGGTCCTGGGTCCTGGACCCGACAACTAAGAACTCCTGGGTCTCCTCTAGCACGACCGCTAACTTAGCGTGTTAAGATGCCCCACGCCAGCGCCCCGTTGCCGAGCGGGTGGCGCAGCACGTTCACAGGGACAGACAGAGAGAAGAAAGAGAAACGGTTTTCCTCTCCAGAACCGATCTCGGGAATGAGGAAAGAGAGATCATGCCGATGTAGGAGAGACAGATGGATGTCAGGTTAGCAGAGGCTGGGTTCAATGTGGCTTTCTTGCTAAATTGTCTCGGTTTCAGAACGAGGTCAGCCTTGTAGAAGCCATGATGTAAGGCTGTTTATTAGACGGGGCGGCTACCTACGTCACCAGCCCTCCAAGACGGCAGGTACTGTCACTGTCTCTGTACCTTCCCCCCGGATATAGTACCTCGACCAGGGTCTTGTCTTGGACTGGATCAACACGAACAGACTTGACACATGGATTTTGCACCGTCGAGACGTGGTATTACCGGGTAAAGCGACGCAATTCGAGTCATTGAGTGAGATCATCTCGAGTACCTGCGCCGAGCGATAAACCGACGAGACGAGACGAGACGGGACGGGACTGACTTGATGTTATTCCGATTCCCTTTGATCACATCCATGGAACGCCCACCCTCCTTCCCTCACCACCACCACCTCCGCGACAAATCAACTCCCACCAACCACCAGAGACACGCCTGCACACCCACAAATCAAGTGATAGATCCCTATTGCTCCTACGCCTCTCCCTCGTGCCTACAGAGCAGTACGTACCGCCCCTACCTACGTCTTCTGTGACTCCCCACCACCACCACCCTTCAAGAGCCTGATGAGTTCCATCTTTGACCCTTCTTCCCGCCCGACCCCATTCCTCACTGCCCGACTCGACAGCTATCATCCTGGGATATCTACCCCCTTGGCATCCCAGTTCCTAGATCCCAACCTCCCAGAGAAACATCCGCTCCTTCAGGATTCGACCACTAATACCTACCTGCTCTTCAGCTACTTACACCAAGACTACCTCACTCTTAAAAACACCACATTGCTTCCACCAAGCTTGGATACACAACCAATCTTGGGCAATACCATATTGACTGCTTCAGCTACATAGCTTGATCTTCTCATACTCTTTTAGACAGCTCCGCTCTCAGCGATCGAGCTCATCTGAGCACCCAAATCACCAGCCATGAGCGGCGGCTCAACCGTCCAGCACATCGACACTGTCGATGCCATCGCTCGTTCCCTCTACCTTCGCGCCAAGCAATCCGGTCTACCCTTCAGCGACGTCGCTAACGCCGTCCGCAACCTCCACCTGGCCCTGCGGCACCTGCGTACGGAAGCTGGTGACCAGGACTCCCTCCTCAACAACCCTCATGCATCATCGTCTTCTCTCTACGCGCGCCAGCTCTCACCTCTTGTAGAGGATTGCGACTTTACCCTGGCCCAGCTTGAGAGCCTGCTCGACAAGTATGGCGACGGACGAGCTGCTATGCCCGAGGAGGAGCGTCTGAGGGACGACAGACTTGCTATTATGAAGTCAAAACTCGTTAGCGACAAGACAAGCGTGGAGATGTTCCTTGACGCTGTACAACTGCACGCCGAGAATAGACCGACCAGGGTTGTTGACGGAAGCCAGGAGGGTTTCGAGGGTATTAAGGACAAGATTGACGAGATTGCAAACAAGTTGTTTCGAAACCGCAGTGAGAATAGCTTCACTGAAGACGACGACGATTTGTGGCGCGAGTTCAAAGAAGAACTCGAGAAGGAGGGGTTCTCTCCTCAAGTGCTACGAAAACACAAGGTCAGTGTTCATCTGCTGGGTCACCCTGAGTGTAGGTCACTAATGCCACGTTAGGACGTCCTTCGAGCCTACATCCGAGAGCTCGAGTCTGTTCAGAACCAGTACGGCGGGAACTGTCCTACCTTTAGAGGTCTTCTAGAGCAGGAGGCCAAGTATAAACCGAGCTCTCCCAAGGAACTGGACGGCAACAGCTACGTCGACTACCCGCCTGTCATTGTTAGTGGACGGCGTAGATCGAATAGCGACACCACTAGAGATCACATCTCATCATCTCCTAGGGATTCTGACGACAACGAGTCCGACTTTTCTACGGCCCTCGTCTCAACTCAGGATATCATCAGCATGGATAGCCTCAATTCTCGTATGGCCAGTCTGAACGTTCAGCCTGGCCAGCAGTACAGCCTGTCTCCTGGACAGGGGCAGAGATACCTGCCATCCAACAGCGCTGGCTCTCTGCCAGATGTTCCCGAGCTGTCTGGCTCGCCTACTTCATACCACTATGGGACATCTCCACGATCTATCCCCCCTATGCCACCTCACATGAATGGAGGCCCAACCTATGGTAGCAGCCCAAGGAGCAGTGCTCCTCGCCTGGCTCCTGACCGTTGGGGCAACGAAATCCCTCCTGATGCCCAGTGGACCAGGATTAGGAGGACTCTTATTAGCCCCGAAGTCTTGGAACGGGCTGGTGTGCGATATGAAGCTCGCCCCGAATACGTTGCTATCCTTGGTCGTCTCCCTCGCGAAAAGATTGCTGAACTCGCCCGAGAGAGCGCTCGATGCCGTGCCAGCCGTGCTATGCGCGACCCCCGGCGTCCCAGGCACGACCACCACCAGGACCGCAGAGACTCAAAGAGCAGCCGCGAAGATGACGATAGCGACAGCGATATCTTTGATGAAAGCGACATTTCAGACGATGATGATGATAGAGCGTCTGATAAGGGTACAAAGAGTTACCCCTTCATCGTGAACCCTCCCAGCAGGAGCAAGACGTCTCCGTCAAGCACAACCCTCCCCAAGCCAATCCTCAAGAACAAGAACGAAAACCATGTGCGCTTCGATCCTGAGCCGCATGAGGTTGACGGTCGCAGTCCGCGTTCTCTCAGAGATGAGCGAGACCGCGAGCGTGACCACCGCCGAGAGCGACGACGCCACAGCCCATCTCGATCATCACGACGCTCGAGGAGACACTCCGATGCTGGAGATCGACACTCTCGCAGTGATAGGCACGGCGACTACTATGACAGCAACGGGAGGAGATACCATCGGGAGAGAGACAGGAAGAGCTCGAGGAGAGATGAGCGGCCCCAGGGGAGGAAGAAGTGGGGAGAAGCCCTCGGCGCCGTGGGTATCGGCGGCGCTGCGGTGAGTCTCTTGAGCGTTCTCGCCGAAGCGGCATCTTGATTATCCTATGACGGACTGGCTCCGTTGTAAACAACCATCGCTTAGACCCCTTTTCCCCTTTGTTTTGGCTTCTTTTACGAATCAATCTGTCACGTATTTCATCGGCGGGAAAATGTATCAAGGGGCACTGGATATGGAATACAGAACACGGAACAGGGAAGGAAAATTGGGAAGGCCTTTTGTCTTTTATGCGTTTTTGTATAGGATTTGTTTCATGTACGGTATATCACGACCGAGATGATCTAGCCAGCGAGATAGCTGGCGGCTATGTATGAAGTATGAACATGGCGAGAGATAGATACCCGAGATGAGATGAATCTGGAGGTTGGAATTTGTGTTTGATATGATGGGGACCAGCTATGAGCCTGATGAATTTGGAAGTTGGTCTTGTGTGTTTAAACTCGACGAATCTTGTCTTGTACTGAGTTTGGTAAAGAATCAATATCTACACAAATCTGAACCGCTGGCTGGCTATGAACAAGTCTTGTGTGATGCAAAGCGTAACCAAATGACGACTGTCTCTAGATGCTGTATCAAGGACAAATCTAGTTCCCTACGTCATAAGCTCCCTTTCTAGCTTATCCCACCACCCCCTGGCATTCACATCGGTTGACTCAGGCGCCGGTCCCATGGCCCGGACTCTTGCTACCGGCGTGCGCTTCCACTCAACCACCTTCATCGTCGGGACCCGTGGCCACTTGAAACCCGGTTTGTCCATGTTGATCTTGCGCTTTTTTGCCATGGCTTTTACCTCCGGACCACCCCTATCTTGGGGTAACGTCTTTCGTGCCTGGCGGGACCAGATGAACCGGGGGACTGACATGTCTCTCTTGATACACACGTGGCCCTGCGCAGTGCGGTATCGCACCTGATCGTGAAAGAATTCGCTGAATTCTTGGACGATCTCTGGGACGACGACTTGCATGAAATGCCCGTTGCGCTGCCACTTGCACGCCGAAGCGCTGCTGAGGAGATTGTTGAGCCAAGTGGCGATGTGGTACCAGACGTGTTCCTTTTGAGCCTCCATCTGAATGCGTTGGTGACTAGGCCGTGAGAATTCCTGGAGGATTTCATCGAAAACAATGTCCTGGTGCTGCTGCTCGAGGTGACGATAGTAAGGGATAGCGTAACCTCGCATGAGATCAAGCGCGGGTCGGAATTTACGCTGGATGATGAGCGTCTTGATGTAGACGCTGTAGTCTTCAAAGGTAGGTTCCACGTTGTATGGAGCAGAGGTCATGGTTTCCCAGATTCTTTGAATGTCAAAGGGTTTGACGACGTTGGCCGCATAATCACCTATCAGTTTTCGTTGACTCTGGAACGGCTTCGAGGCGCAGACATATGCCCAGTTGAGAAGACTGGACCACGTTTCGTGAGGGATCTTGATATTGTGCCACTTGGAGAAGTGAACGAGGAGCTCCTTTGCAGTGGTGATGCGGGACATGCAACCAAACGACTCGACAATGGCGCTGAGTATTCTCTCGGTGGGTTCTCGTGGGTTGCCTTCACGGAAATTCTTTCCTCCCCTTGCGACCGTGATGCCTTCATTCTCGGTGAATTTGAGACGGAAGCCTCTCAGAGTGACAACTCCCCTGAGATTCGCCATGTTGCCGCCCCTCGCAAACGCTATCATGCTTGTGCACAGGAGCTCCTCGTCAACGAGGGTGCCGTACTCCTTTGACCGCAACCAGTGATTTCGATAACCATGGAAGCTCTTCTTTTTACCATGCAACGCTCGGGTGTCTTGGGAAACTCGATGTCGGAGGCGATTGAAAGGTAGCCTACGATGAGCGTTCAAGCTGTACCTTAGCCTCTCCATCCGCTTGAGACTACCTGGGGGAAGTAAATGTCTTTTTCTTTCTTTGAACATCCGACGAGGGAGAACAGCAACTCTTGAGCGATCGAATTGGTAGTATAGGGGATCGATCATGAAGCGAGCCTTTACAAACTCGTTCCAGGTTGCCGTAGTGCGTCTCCTCTCTAGGCCGCTCTTTGCGATGGCACCAAAGAAGTCGGCCGCGGCCACAGGATCTGCAGCAGCACCGGCGCAGCGGATAAAGACCTCATAGTCAGTGACGAGAAGATTTCGCTCTGTTTCCTGACAGGCATCGAATAGGATTGTCGCGGCATTGAGAAGGGTGCGATGATGGTTTCGTACGCCAAAGTCATCAACAAGTTTGCCAAGATTGGTGAATTGGGTATGGCCGAGAGAGATATTGAGGCCGTGAGCAACATCGTACTTGCTATTGTTTGCGACAGGGTCAATCCATCGTAGAATTTCCGAAAAGGTCGCGACAGGAAGCTCAGCTAGCTCCTGAAGAGCAGCGGTAGCAACGTTGGCATCGGCATCTACCAAACTGTCGACCCATTCGTAAAAGTTGGGGAGGATTCGAATATGATCGCAGCATTGTATAGACCTCAGAAGATGATCCAAAGACGAAGGCCTATCGACACCAGTCTCATCAGACAACCAATTGCCAACTCTCCCTGTAAACATCGAAGCCGAAGTCGAAGTCGAATGTGTTGCTAGCCATCGTCGGCCCACTACAGCGGGTCGTGCGGGCTCTAGGGACCTTGCCGGTGGGTCACGGATCCGTAGCGCAGTGAGTGGAGTTGATGAGAGGCGATCGAGACGAGGCCCTCGTCGGAGGGAATGTCTCCAAAGCATGGCATTCGAATTGGCTTCATGAGCGTTGGAAACTGGTGTGAGAAAGGAGAGAAAAAGAGGCGCATTTGAAAGGAAGGGATCGGATGCGACATTACCATCTCCTCGTGAGGGGGTGTTTTCGTTTTGGCTGCCGTGTAACCCAATTGAGAAGGTTCAGACCAGTGCCGTGATGGATATGTGAATGCTAAGACACTGGATATGTGCATCATGCTCATCACCCCGGTTGAGACATAATGTAGAGTTGACCCGAAGATTTTCCCACCAAGCCAGTTCCACAGTCGTGTTTTCCCGCTGGATTTGGTGGTGCTCATAGCCCTGTCTATCGACCAAGCGCCTCTCCAACTGTTCAACCCTGGACGACTCGTCTCTCCGAAACCACATCAACTCATCAAACGAGACTCAGACGATAATATCCGACAACAATCATGGCCGACGTCGGTGAAGAATCCCACCATGTGTCGGAGCCCCTCGACCTCGTCAGGCTCCTGCTCAACGAGGTTGTCTTTGTGAAGCTTCGAGGAGACCGAGAACTCAAGGGAAAGCTGCATGTGAGTACATACGTCATTCAAATGAAGTACAAGCTCTAATGTGTGAGTTAGGCTTATGATAGTCACTGCAACTTGGTGCTGGGAGAGGTTGAGGAGACAATCTACACTGTTGATGAGGATGATGAGGACGACGAGGTCAAGGTATGTCCACTTCAAGACTTTCACAGCACAGGCTGGTACTAACGAATGATTCAGACTATTAGCCGGAAATCTGAAATGCTCTTTGTGAGAGGTGAGTGCAGTTTGGTCTTGATGACCCATGACATGCTGACTGTGAGATAGGTGATAGTGTGGTCCTCATTTCACCAGGAGTTCCTTTCTAGACGGAGGCATAAGAGATGTAATTGTGCCTCGCAGACCTCTCATTATGCAAACACGGCTCTTGGGGATGTGTTGCAGCCACCTAGGTTGCGTCATGCTACGGCTACATTCATAGGCCGGGAACGTGGCTGCCCGAGAGCAAGCTGTTCAAATCAGGACACAGGGGCGAGGCAGTATATTGAAGCCCCTTCAAATAATGCTCCTATCTGTGCCTGGAGACGAGAGCCAGACACGGAAGCATTGTCTCTAGATAGTCCATTCCGTTCAACTTGATAGTCGGGTTGAGCTTGAGAGTACAAAAATAAATCATGAACAGCAACGACTGATATCCTTGGCTACAAACTCCCTTATGAATGGTGACTACTATCCATCTCATCCAACTCCTGAATTCCTGCCTCTCCAAGCCTTCGTGGGAGGATATTGCAAAACATGCACCTACCCATCTCATAATAACCCCGATATTTGAATGAGGCTTGAGACACCTGAAGCCACCTCAACCTTTCGTCACTGGCAGGGGGTCTGTGCGCCAAGCAACAGCAGAGCTCCTTATCGATAAGGCAAACACGGGACGGAGGCGTGGGGACCCCGGCCGCTAACTTAGCTCTGTGAGTAACTCCCCGCGCACGTACACTTCACCTCAACTCAACTTCATCTATGACTCTTCCCAACACGGGATCTCATCAGTCAGACGGCGAGAAGAGGCGCAGCTTTGTCAAACCATATTTTCGACTACTTATACTCCGACCTGGACCACAAGAAGTTCCTTGTTTCAGCTCAATCAATGATCACTCGAATACCTTTCACCCTGTGATGTTACGAATCGCATGACCTCATCGTTATCATGTCAATCAAACCGTTGGCGCACGAGAAGCGCAAAGGCGAATCGGTTCGCTATGACCTTTAAATGCTTGAAATGACACATGCTTATTGATTAATCAGGCGCTGAGCGACTTTGCCGAGTATGTTGAGCAACAGCAGAATCTCCGGTACCCGACCGCTAGAACTGCTCCTGGGCCAGCTGGCACGGCCACCGACGGAAATGAGCACCACGAGGAGCTCGACGAGCTGTTTGATAATCTCGACCTCGCCGACTCTGCGCCTCGAGTTCCCCTGAAGGATATCCTACTTGGATCGAACGAAGAGTCTCTGAAGCAGCTGGAAGACCTAGTCGCCGATCGATTAGAAGAGGGTTTTGGGGAGTGCGTGTTCGAAATTGGGTACGAGAACAATGGCGACTCGATGGATCTAACCCTCGACGAATGGAATCAAGCGCTTGAGACACTCCAAGCAGCTGCGAAGCGCGTTCGTGCCGACTGCGACTTGCTACTCACTAAGAATGTTGGTGGCGAAAAGGAGGTCCCCAGTACCGGCGACAAACCCATAAAAGACAAGAGCTGCAGTGGCAAAGTCCTCGTTCGACAAGTACCGGCGACAATAGAGGACGTAATTGAGACGCGGATAGCAGTGGTGGGCAATGGTAAGATGCTCGGGCGGCTTGCCAGGGACTATCTAGTATTAACACATTGCAGTCGACGCAGGGAAGAGCTCCATGCTTGGCGTGTTGGTTAAGGGAGACCTTGATGACGGTCGAGGAAAGGCTCGAGTGAATCTGTTTCGACACAAGCACGAGATTGAGACAGGTCGAACTAGCTCTGTGGGGATGGAAATCATGGGCTTCGATACTGTGGGACAAGTTGTCACCTCTGACATCCCTGGACGTGAGTATTGGATAGCCTAGGCATCTATGATGGCAGCTCTCCTAACAATTATCTATAGGAAAACTCTCGTGGGAAGAGATAGGAAAGCGAAGTGCCAAGGTTATCACTTTCACCGACTTGGCAGGCCACGAGCGGTATCTCCGAACAACGGTTTTTGGACTGCTTTCGAGCAGCCCTAACTATTGCCTGCTTATGGTTGCAGCCAATAACGGGCTCATCGGAATGAGCAAAGAACATCTGGGAATTGCACTGGCTCTTAATGTCCCTGTCATGGTGGTTGTCACCAAGATCGACATTTGCCCGCCCAACATTCTGGAGCAGACAATAACCCAGATCACCAAGATCATGAAGAGTCCTGGAGCACGCAAGATTCCCACCTTTATCAAGACTCGCGAGGAATGCATAAACACGGCAACTCAGTTTGTCAGCCAACGGATATGCCCCGTGTTCCTCGTGTCCAACGTGACAGGAGAGAATCTCGACCTTGTCAGGACCTTCCTGAATATCCTGCCTCACCACGGACGATATAACTCGGAGGCACCGTTTGAGTTCCATGTCAATGACACGTTCTCAGTGCCTTTCACTGGTACAGTGGTGTCGGGTATTATCAAGTCTGGGGTGGTTCACGAGGGAGATAATGTTCTCATTGGACCCGACTCTTTGGGTCAGTTCACGCCGACTGCTATCCGCTCTATTGAGCGCAAGAGGATAAGAGTCCCTGCTGCATCGGCAGGGCAGTCTGCCTCTTTTGCTCTCAAGAAGGTCAAGCGCAAGGATGTGAGAAAGGGAATGGTTGTGCTCCCCAAGATTGAGGGTCAGCCTACGCCCAAGGTGCACCGAGAATTCATTGCAGAGGGTGAGTATCTGAGCTGTTTCGCTGTGTTATAACCTCTAACGTTGGCAGTGCTCATTCTCTCTCACGCGACAACTATCAAGACCAAGTATCAGGCGATGCTTCACGTCGGCCCTGTCTCACAGACGTGTGCTATCATCGACATTGACCGCGAGCTCATCCGAACTGGTGACCGCGCAACCGTTGCATTCCGCTTCGTTCAACGTCCAGAGTACCTTGCACCGGGCGACAGACTTTTGTTCCGCGAAGGCCGTACCAAGGGCTTGGGCATTGTCAAGTCAGTCGGATACGACCCTGAGCATCCGCTGATGTCGAATAAGAACGACGAGGAGAAGAAGAGTGAACCGGTCAGTGCTGAAGTCAGCGTCGGCGCCTAATGATGGATTGTCTGTGAGACTTGGGAAGAAGTGATGTTGGGCCACAGCCATGACGATGACATGAAAGACGGATAAGGGGGCGTTTCGGGTTCAGGATTATTGTAGGGTTTGCATTTGTATTCTATGGAAGTGCAAGGCTTGTCTCTCTTTATTGTATTAGTTCGTTACATGTTTGATAATTCCTATTACGCCTTCATCCAAATGTTTGACCGCCCGCCCTCTCTCAATGTTCTTACGTCCCCTAAATTCATGATTCCTCCATTCTTGCAGGAGAAGCCAAACACTCTCTTGGGGAACTGCACAAGCTCCGAAATACCTGGGACGTCCATACAATACCGCTCTAGGTAGATGCAAATGGCCTGCCCTTCAACCAACGACCTCCTCTGCATGTACCACGAACTGTGCGCCGCCGCCTTGGCGTACCACCACGTAAGCAGAACTATAGCCCTCGGGTCCTTGTCCTCCAGGAGCTGCTTGTACCGGGGGTCTAGCTGAGTTAAAAAGGCAAGGAATTGTACCACGGAGTTGTCGTTGATCTTTTGTGGGAGGAGCTGTGCGAGAAGTGAAGCAGCGACGTGGTAAGGGTTAGATATCGGAGATGAAGCCGGGGAAAGGTTAAACGTGGTGAAGAACGAGGGAGGGAGAGCACCAGGGGGGATTGGCTTTGCGCCGTTGGGCATTTGATCCTTGTGGAGGAGGAGTTCATGGAATATGCTCTCAGCTCTCGTCGGGTCAGCAAGAGCCCACGCAACCTTTTTCCCTTCGCTCATTTTTAACCAGTCTAGGTCCAGGATGTCGGGAACTTTGAGTGGCCAGGCACCCTCGACGTTTTGTACGTCGACTAGGGCGAGTGCTGAGGCGCCGAGAAGAACGGAAGCTGTCCATATTGCGTCCCTTTCTGAACTGGGTAGTAGTGAGAGGTCGGGGGTTGAGTGTGCTGCTAGGAGGCGCTGCTGGAAGAGTACCGTCGCTTGGTACCAGTGAAAGGCCAAGGCTGTGCGGTGTGAAGGGGGTTGTTTGGGGGTGATGTGACCATCGTGAAGAAGGGCAAAAGCAATAAAGGCATGAATAAGAAAAGGATGCTACTCGTGTCAGTTTTTGAAATCCTCTTCATATAGACCAATCTTACCTTGTACGCCAGCTTGACCGCCCTCTCAGCATAAAGATGCCTCGTCTTTTCCGTCCCCATGGTAAAAACAGTCCTCAACCTAAACCTCTCCAACGCCGCCATCTCAGCCTCTCCAAGGATAATCTCCCCCACGGCACCCCTCGTCGGCTGCGCAACCGGGACCCTAAGCCCAGGTAACGGAGCCTTGAGGATTTGGTCCGTAGCCGGATCAGCTGCTACTGAAAATACAGGGCCAGCGCTGCAGTGAGCTAGATGAAGACTAGCTGAGGGAGAGGTTTGGGTGAAGGAGCAGATGAAGCCTGAGGATATGCAGCGTTTGCATGAAGGCTTTGACTCGTCGCACTAGAAGGATTTCTTAGTAACTGTCGGTGAAAGTTTGTCAGAGTGAGATGAATACCTTGACGCTGCGTAGCTTGCAGTTACTACATCCTAGACGAGATTTGCGGTGAGCCTTCCTCTGTCTCACAGGCGGTGTCTTCTTGTTCGCCTCGCCAGCTACAACCATGATGTCGATGTGTATGCCTTTCCGGAACTTTCGGCAATGCCTCGGTAACTCGACGAGGGCGAATGCTTTATGTTGAAGAAGGTTAAGCTGATTGATCAGGTAAGATACTAGAATAGGGTTGATAGGGTTGATGCTTGAATTAGTGAGATCTCATGGATAGAAGAGAGTAATGAAGTTGCCAAGTTGAACGGAATGAGGCTCTTTGCCCCGACACTAACTCCGTACCCCAAGATCTCTTGGCCAATTACAGTGACATCATTTATCCATGCCACCTCAGCCCTACGAATGCAACCGGAGATTTATGAAAGTCTTCATAACTCGCTATCGACATGTCTCAGTCACCTCATGCTTAACATCAGACAAGACCCAAGTCTAGAACCTCGCGAAATATCCTCTTCTCACCAAAGCATGACCATCTTCCGTTTTGTTCTCACCGCATCCCCCTGGACCCTATATATCCCTGCCGCTATCCACAATCTTACACGGCCTCTGCTGGTCCACACGTCCCGTCCCACCGCGTAAATGACCCGTGAACAGATTGGATGTTAATACATTCAGTATTACGCTGCCTGCCCCTGCTCGGGCCTCGTTCATGCATCACCTGGCGTTGAAACGCGCTGACCTAGATTCAAGACCTCGTTACTCGAGACATTCAGAGTATCACAGAAACGGTTCGGGAACTCATTTAAAGATCCTCATCGGACGACAATATATAATAGTGTAATATAGGAGACGATGTGGTATCGATACGTGGGTGCCTCTTTGAATGCATCATGACCCTGTCCGTTCCATTCCATTCCATTCCCCTCCAATCATTCATTCAGGTATATGCTTTCCGTGGAATCTCTGGTAAATGACTTGCTTGCCAACCGTCCGTCCGTCTTTTGTAAACGCCGCCAAACCAGTTGACCCATACATTCATCACATCCCAACCGATGCTTGATGATACAACACTTGACAAAGAAAAGAAAAAAGAATTAGAGACGTAAATATCGTAAACGTGAACGTCAGTGTATGTTATGGTGTAGTAGCGGTGACACACACGCAGACTGGCTGTGTGCTTTTGCCACATCGCACAGCTCTCCATATCATATCCAAACGCAGGCGGCCAGCGCTCTTCACACTGCCCGTCCAGCTCGGTTGCGGAGAGCTGCCATATCGAGATTGATTGGTGGCCTAGAAATCTCCAGGCTGCGACTTGGCATTCTCCTACCTCCCGGGGTACGGGGGTTGGCCACATTGACGCGCCCGGTGCGGTCAAGGATCCGTGGGGGTGAGTCGTCAGGATCCGACTCAGAATCATCCTCGGGTCCGTCATAGCCAGCATCAGCCAGTCTGGCAAAGTAATCGGCCATACCATCGACGCTAGGGGTTCCAACCACAACATCATACTGAGGGGGAGGCGTCATAGTCGGTTCTGGGTGCTCCGAGACAAGTTCGGCTGCGGGGGGTGGTGCGACATCGTCCTCGAAAGCGGGAGGGTTGAAGCTTGGAACTCGGAGGAGATGGATTGGCCGAGGTTCTTGCTGACCACCAATCGCATTGGCCAAATGAGCCGCCTGTGGTGGTGCAGGAAGGTTTTCGCTGCTAGCATTGACTCCGGGAAGCGTGCCCGTAGACGAGTTAGGCGAAGCATCTGTCGGCATGGTGAAGGCGTCGGGACACCCGCAAGTGGACTGATACGTCGCGCCATTGCAGTTCGGTCCTGAGTAGGCTGGGAGGTTCGTGTTGGCATGGGTAGCTCGGCAGTTGAGCACCGTGAAGGGTGAGTCAATGCTGATCTCAAAGTGCCGGCGCTTTGTGCCAGTAGGATCCTCAGGGTCGAGGCGGCTGATGCGCATCACAACCTACAACAGTCAGTAAATATTTCAGACAAGAGTCAGTTGTAGATCTTACCTTGATCCAGTGGAAGACATTGACATTCTTCCAGCTGCAGTCAGGATGAAGTCGCAGTTCCTTGTTCTTTGCCATCATCTCGCAAGTTGGGATCTGGACATTGGCCTCGATCTCAGTTGAACCCCAGAAAGTCTCCAGTCCCAGATCGATATCACCAAGGAGGTTAGCCGTGGGTTCGGGGAGTGGCGCAGCGGTAGTCTGTCGTCGAGCGGCATCCAGTGTTCGTCTTCGGGCGGCCGCCTCGCGGGCCTGTCGTCTCTGCTCGGGAGTGAGTTCACCGCCACGAAGCGTTCGGATCTCGGAGGAAGCATAAGATGACTCGAGGGGCTTGCCAGCAGACTTCTCAAGGAGAAGAATCTTGCGGCCCGGGTCCTTTCGAGTGACGCGCTTATCACTAGTCCAGTACTCAATTGACTCCGTCACATACACCTTGAGCTTGTGCACCTGAACCTTGGCCAGAGGCGTAAGCTTAAAGGCGATGGGGATTTTGCTGCCAATTGGGAAACTCTTGCCCGAAATGACAATGTCGTAGTGGAGCTGATCTTCCCATTGTCGGCTGATAGAGATGGGCTCTGACATCTCAAGAGAGAGTTGATCGGGTACTCGAACAATCGAAACCTCCTTGGTGCCGTGGAGGTTAGGTTTAAAGGCGCCGGCTCGGTCAACGGTGGCTTGAAGTTCCCACTTGACAGATCCATATTGCAGCTTGGTCGTTTCTAGCTGGTGGTGATCGATGGGGAGTTCAAACGAGTAGTCGTAAACACCGGGGTAAAAGACCTTGTAGCCCTTGACCTGAGTAGCCGAGGCGATTGGGCTGTCGCCCTTGTTAAAGCTTCGCGATTGAACGCTCTGCAGCGATAGGCGCTTCATCTCCTTGGCTGTCAGGTTATTGCGATGTGGCGAAAGCGAGCTCGAAGGGCTAGGTCGGGCCAGGTTCGTCGAGCTGCCGTTGGGCGATGCGTTCTTGAGCTTGTAGGTGCATTGGTTGCCATAGTCGGATTCCCAGCCGTCATTCATGGCATTGAAAAATGTGAGGACCTGAGTGCGCAGACTCTCCTCCTCGTAGACGTCCTGCTTTAGTGGCGGGATGCCCTCTGGCCATTCCGTGCGGGCGCGACCGAGAAGCTTGAGCTGAACGGCCTTGATCTTGACGTTCTTTGTAACGCGCAATTGAAGTCTGCCTCGCAGCAGAGCAGTGCCGCCTTGGGAGTCGCGATGGCCGTGGCCGTCATGGTCGAAACCCGAGAGGAAAATGTTTTGTTCGGCGAGGAGAATTGAGCATGACACGCCACTGCCGGAAGCGACGGGTTTCGGGACCTCGGCGACGACAGAGGTGACGGCAGATTTTGAAGATCGTACAGACATGAAGCTGCTTCGGTTGGTGTTAGAGGCCATATTCATATTCATGCTGTGTGAACCCGTCAATGACGGGTTAGAGACATGGGCGGCGGCCATTGTTCCGTGTGGATTTGAGTCAGTCGAGTTGATGGGTGTTGAAGTGATTGTGGAGGTAGAGATTAAATCATGTGCCGGGGAGCCGGGGTGAATGTCGTCATATGCTGGCGGGGACTGTGTGGGTGTGATGGATGCGGCCCTGGTCGCACCTGCCTCGGCGGGACCTGCTCCAATAGCAGACTGGCAAGTCAGGTCCGACTGGCAAGACGGGGCAATTGCGCGTCCAGTATTGGCAGTTGCGGTGGAAGTGGCAGTGGAAGTGGCAGTGGAAGTGGCAGTGAGAGCACGAGTCCCGTCGGCGCTTTCCCGAGTCGTGCGATCAGCAGAAAATGCTGGCTCGGCTCTTATACGACCCGAAGTGGCACAAGAATTTGAATACGCAGGGTCAATCGCTTCAGAGGGGCCTGCTAGAGACAGTGAACTCAAAAGCTTATCCCTGCGACGCACTGCTGCACGAGACTTGAAGCTCCTCCTCTTTTTTGTGTTGACACTGCTGCCGATAGGACAATCCTGGACGGCGTCGTTGAAAGAGTTGCTTGGTGAGGGCTGTAGTGATGGCGCACGCCGAGGCGCTGGAGGCGGCGGGGGAGTGTCAGGCCGATTTCCTGGTCGCAACTCTCGAGGCACGTAGCCCGAGGGATAGCTAATAATGTGGATGGCCTGGGGACGAGACCGCCGGGGACCGATCAACGGCGCCGGGAAGCGTGCAACCGACAGCGAAGAAGGTTTCTTGCTGAGGCGCGGGCGGTAGTAAACGTTATCGTAGGAAGTGACCCAGTTGGAGCGGCGCTGGGTTTCGGGAGCTGTTGTTGTCATTGTCAATGGCTGTGCTTGGGTGACGACGACGGCTAATAAGCCAAGAGGATATGATGGTGCCCAGCCAGAGAGCAAGCCTTGGGACGTGACGCAAGCAAGAAGAGGCTGAGTGATGAGGGAGAGCAAGGGCAAGAGTGTTTAAAGCGACAGAGTTTACTGGGATAGAGCAAGCAGGTGGGTAAACACTTGTATGTATATGGCTTCAAGCCGGACAGTAAAAGATTGGGGCGTCTGTATGAATATCGCGCGTGAGGAGGGCAAGGCGTAGCTTATAACAAACAACAAGAATCAAGACGGTTGAATGTGTGAGCGGGACCTCGGTCTAATAGCAACAAAAGGACGCCATGATAGACCAGCCAGACCAAGGGAAGGGAAGGGCTGGGATGGGGTAGGGGCCCAGGCACGCTGCACACCCGACAAGACAAAAAAAGAAGACGGTGTGTGCGCGTGCGGCGTGCAAGTCAGTGCAGTGTGATGGGATGGGGCTGGCGGGCATCAAAGCACAGGACAGCAACGGTGCTTTTCTTATGCGCTGGCATGCCAAAGTTGGGGCTGAGAGGTGAGGGTATCCATACAAACCGGCGCCGAACAAGCCAAACACCAAGCAGAGCCAGGCGATGGGCAGCAACACCAAGGCCGGGGTGCCAGGGGGGTCACGCCTTGAGTTGGCGGGCGGTTGGCGGGGTGGGGATGATGCGGGCGGACAAGGGTGGAGAGCAGGGCAGAGGATGGGACTAGGAAGAAGACAGGGGTTGGAGACGTTGCGTTTGAGTGAAAGTGAAGGTCAAGGTGAAAGTGAAAGAGGGAGTGGCGGTGATGGTGGAGAGTAGCTTTTGCATCATGAGGCGGTTATGATGAGGCCGGGAAGGGATATTCTGAGACGACGTGACATGTTTGGCTTGATTTTTTGTCTCTCCCGCCATAAGCCATAGAGATCGCCAAGCTGCAGTGCCGTATGCGAGATTTGCAAGAGATTGATGAACATTTTCGTTCACTTGAACGGTGGGAGTGCATGACCAAGGAAACTAGGGGCGTGTGACATGCAAGAGAGACGCCATCCAAACAAAGGAATGGCCATTAAACAACTCGAAACCTGCTTGCTGAAAGGACTGGAAGAAAGCCGAATAATTGAACTATACGTACCACTATAGAGTGCAAAATCCGAAACGGCTTCGTTGGAGAGGCTAGTGGAGCTCTGGCCTCTGCCGCTGACTGGCGGTGATGATCCTGGTCGATTTGGATGCTCTCCCGCGTCCTCAAGAATTTATTCGAGGTTGATGCTACTCAGCTCAGCTCAGCTTAGATGAAATGGTACCCAAGCTCCACGTCTTCAGGGCGCGTAACGACGGCGGTAGAGGCGGAGGATTGGCCGGCGGGGAATCAAGAAAAGAAAGTTGTAAAAATCCAATATAATCTGGACGGTCTAGACAGCAAGAAAGAGATTTGAGAGACAAGGACCTCAGGTGAGCGATTCGCGTGTCCAATTAAGCACGGTTCGCTGAGGCTGCTAGGGCTGAAGTCTGAGACCGGCGACAGCGAAAGACTGGGGTGTGAGACCTTGAGGTTTTTTGTTCTCTTCAAGCTCGGAGCAAAAGTCTAGATGAGGTAGACGAGGGGGAGAAGGAGAATAAGGATACGAGACGAGAGCAGGCGACGCAAAATGTAAGACGACGGTCGATCAGGGAAGAATCCGGTGGTTGGCCTATCAGGGAGGGGATGCTCGAGAGGTGTTCCCAGGCAGGATTTTTGCGGCGCTCAAACAAACAAGCCGATGATGTAGTAATGTTCCAGAAACTGGATATGAGATTTGGAGAAAAAAAAGCGAGAGGGGAGAGAGACAATTGACGAGCTAGATATTCATTCCACGTTCTTGTAATCTGGTGTGCATAATATCTTACCCATTATTCCGACTAAGCCGTGCGAGGGAATTCCATTCGGCATCAGAAGCCAACACCGAATAAGCCCCAGAAAAAAAAAGCTTCTTGTGTCTGGACTGTACAGAACAAACGGCCATCAGCAAGTGGTATTCTTGTCGTTTTCGGTGACGCGGCACAAGGGTCGGGCCTCGATGACCCCACGAGGAGCCCCAAACCCGGAAAATGGGATGGGCTACGTAATTGGGTCCATCCCCCATCGTAGACAACCAAACAGATGCCTCTCAAACAGGGTTTGGAAGCATTTACAGCAGTTGCCAAGGGGTCTTCCGGTTGGCGGCCGTGCCGGTCCCGAAAAACAAAGGAATACAGTACAAAAGAAGCCTCCCCCGACCAAGTGGAAGATCCGGATGAGCTGGAACAGACCGATCCATCCACCTTCTCCGGGGACGGCGAAGGAGGGGATGACGGAAGGTCGGCACACGATAACTCAAGTGTGTGTGGAATCATACCAAAAAAAAATCCCCAAGGTTATTCCCGAACGCCTCATCTGACGGGAATGGCCATGCTCGTCAGGTACAGCGTTGCACGTTGTTTTTTTTTTTCTCTCGCCCGCCTCGCGGCGGTGTGTGTCGTGCAGTTATGTGAGCCTCGTGAAGAATTTCCTTTCCATCCCCGCTGTAGGCAAGGATGAGGCATCTTGTGAAGAAAGAGGGCTGGGATCATCACGGGTTCCAGTCAAGTGCATCTTTTTTGAGTGGAGTGGCGATTATAGTGCATCGAAGGGTCTCGTCCTGAGGCTGATGAGCGTCTTTTTTTTTCTGTGAGTGAATGCCGAGCTTCATCCATAAATCCCGACGGTGTACATTGTGAACTATTCTCAATCAAGAGTTTGAGTGTATCTTTGTCTCGCTCGCCTCGTTCAAGGCGGATCTTGTGTGCCGTTCACAGCTTAGATGTGCATGAATGTCAATGCCGGATCCGAGCCTCAACTTTGTTCATCGGACCGTTCAATTGTAAACCGGAAGAACTCGCCTCTCTACCTGCTACACCATCTCTCGTCTGAGTATGGGATATCCCAACCTCGTACAAATTCGGGGTGCAGTCGTCCGATAAAGATCCCACGTCGCCGGAAACGAAAACCCAGCACTAATCTGAGCCTCCAACCATCCGCAACCAGGATGATAGTAAAAATAAACGATGAGAGGCCCGGCAGTCTCTTCCCTCGATCAGGAAAGTCAGGCAGGACGCCCTTGTTTCAGCGCGCCGTCATCAGTTTTCGTGTCAAATTTCCCGGTTGGAAGGATATCCCCATGAGACCATGGCTCGTGCAGCCAAGGACCCCCAATGGTGAAGCACTGGTGTAGGTCAGGAACTTGGTATCACCCATAGAGATTGGGTCCAATATTCGTTAGTGATCATCATATCGTCTGGCCAGCATGCCTTCTGGAGGCTCGAATCTGCGCCGTGAACTCTTGGGAGATTGGCGCTGCCAACTCAGCGCTGATCGTCGTGGACCGTCTCCAACTCTAAAATTCCTTGTCTCTTTTTACCAAGGCATCAATGGATTCTACCCAAGCCTCATTCAGGGTCTCAAAAAGTAAACAAGTAATGAATATCAACAGCTAGGCTTACGTCGTCCAGGCAGCGGGTTGCGGTCATCTTGCTTGAGGCTCGAGGCATCTCCCCTGCAGCAAGCCATCGATCTGGTGGCGACAGAAAAGAAACGAAGGGCGGTTAATTGATTGCGTTTGCGTTGCCAGGGAGAGGAGAGAGCTCATCGTCAAAGAGGTCAGTGCTTCCCGTCGGTCCATCGATGGAAGCTCTGAAGAAGCCAGCCCGTCCTTCTAGTGTAGCCCTTTTCTCAACATCCTCATCTCACGCGTTTCAATATCCTCTTCTCCCTTCGGTCATGACCGTGATTGAGCGTGGGTCTTCCGCCTCGATCGTCATGACCGGGGTCCCCGGTAGTTCTCTGTACAGGGGTGAGGTCAAGGATCAGCGTCCTGTGAGGTCATTTCTCTCTTTCCCTCAGAACCCGATCGAGGGGTTTGTTTGACGTTTGTCTGTAGCCCTGCGAGTGTGGGTTCTACGAATGGATGCTGTACTAAGCGCTGTGAAGCGTATTCAAGCTTTTGTGTAAACGCCATTATCGCGGTAGTGCAAGCCCAAGATGAATTATGCGCTTTGTTGAGCTTCTATTGTTTTACTTTTGATGCATCCATAAACGGTGAGCCATTCGACGCACAATAAAAACAATCGCTCGGACCCTTTGCAACTGTTGCTTCTCGCGATCAACCCGTATTGCATCATCAAACATCCGGGGAAATGCATCTCAATTACGTCCATGACAACTCATTCGCTGGTCATCCAATGCATTGAGGATCATTCTAGGATGTCAACACGAGAGCACCTGTGCGTATTCTTGACCTCTACCAGTACGCTTCTCATGAAGCTATCCTCAATAAGCAGCATCCGTAGCTTGAGCCGATTCAAAGTTTCGTCCCCCGGAACCGCCGCGATTGGGCAAACTCAACCGGCACTGCACTGTTGCATATGCCAGACTCGATGCGACTAACACAAATGGCTGTCACGGGCCGATGCAAGCTCCCCGGCTCTTTGACCTGCTGTCTTTCAGTCTGTTTCAGGCGCAGTTGGAGTCATCTCAGCTGATTTCCTATCTCTTTGTTTACTCCAATGACCCAAAGCGTGCGTATCTATGTATGCAGCCTCTCCCAATGTCGAGGAACCTTTTGGAGGCATCCCTTGACACTACCCAGAACCAACATCAACAACCAGGTGTAAGTATCAGGCGATTCGTAGACCCTGCTGACGAGATAGCGCTACCCTCTACGCGTTATTGGACCGACGAGTTCCCTTTGGAGCTGATGGCAGACCCTGACCGGCCCCTTGTTTACCTAGTCGGCCACTAGACCGGCAGCCGGTTCATTCAAGCATCGACCCCATGATGCATCACCTACGTAGCACCCGAAATCTCGTCGAGATTCCAAAAGGGCTCAGCCAAGGGTAAGAAGAGGCATAGCTTGCGGTATTTGTCAAGGGTTGAGACTCCGCGCGACTACTGCTCGTGACCCTTTTCTGATAACCGAGGACATGCATTCACCTCCATCTCTAGCTCCCCCGCATTTCATAATGCCTCTTTTTTTTGCGGGGGAGATGGGCCATCACCAACAACTTCCTCTTTTAAACCCGCGCAGCGTCCGTTGGTTGCATGCCAAGAGTGTACTCCGACATCCTCCTCGGAGGTGCCAAGATGAGTAACCCCTTGTGAGAGATTTAAACGACAATGGCGCAGCACTTGAAGGCAGCCACGGGGAGAGTCTAGAGGCGGCGACAAACGGATCTTCATGAGCGGTGTGGCAGTGTCTAGTTCCCGCCCGGGGTTTGGTCGTGGAATGTCATTGATAGTCAGCCTGGACATAATAGCGCGAGGTTATTGAATCAATCACAGAATCCAGGGGATTACAAATTGGATACCGCTGTTTTCGAGACTGAATCGTTCAGACTGACGCGACTCAAGGTAATTCGACCCTTGTAGTGACAACTATTTGACGCTTGAACTGCTAAAACAAACCACCATTGACACCTCTCACCGATGGCTTGCTCCCTGTTAATAGCACCGATCAAGAAGGACCGAAAACAAGGGAGAGCTAATTCACAAAAGTACACTCATGTCAGCCTGATCACAGTCTAGCTAAACGATGGCTAGAGTAAGGCCGTAATGGTTACTCACAGACGTGTTTCTTGGCCCTGACCGTTCGGTCAGGCACTTGCCGGTCTAGACTTTTTAGTCTGTCCTTCACAAGTGCCAATGCAACATCATCTCTTTACCGTCGCGATGAGAATTCGTCAAGTGTTTGCCTACCCTACACCGTCCGGGTCGATCGGCGGCGGATCCGAGCCTGTCGGTCCACTCTTCCGTGTCTTCCGGGATATCCGCCGGAAGCATGCCGGCTGATCAAAACATACAGAGAGGGGACTTGTGATGTTTTACGGTACTTCTGAAGGGTTATGGTATTAGATTTTAATGGCGTCATGTATTGATAACTGTATCTTTTGCTGCTGTGGCTGATGCCCTCTTTTGGACTCGTCATTGTGGATATTAACAATAGAGATGGACAATTCAAGATTGATTAGGACATTTAGGTTAAGGAAGCTCTTTTGCTTCGTCTATTACTGTATGATCTCGCTGGCAACTAATGTACAACCTCTGCTAACCGAGCCTGTTGCATGACTAAGACTCACTTCTTGTCCTTCTTCTCGTCCTTCTTGTCCTTGTCCTTTTCCTTCTTCTCCTCCTCCTCCTTCTTCTTCTCGAGTTCCTTCTTGGCATCCGCGGACTTGCCGTGAAGGTCACGGAGATGAGCATCGACCTCATTCAGGTATCCGTCTGCGAGTTGCTTGACATCTTAGTCAACGTAACAACGACCGGTATGAACATTGTCGGCTGAAGAATACTCGTTAGCACAACTCTCACCCAAAGCTTGTGAAATTTAGGGTCGAGGGGCTCTTACCAGCATCGAGGAGGGAACCGATCTCGTGCAGAAGCTTCCTCATCTGATTCGCCCTGGGCTTCGAAACTGCGGCCTTGACAGGAAGCTCCGGGTCTTCTGCCCACTCGCGGAACAACCGACACTGTCGGTTGACGTCGCTCCTCAAGACCTGAGAGTGCGCTTCGTACGGAGGGAAGTTCTGCTGGAGAGTTCTGAAAGACGTACTCAGGATATCGATCATCTCGGGGATGGACTTGCCCTTGTAGGTGTCATAATCGACGGTGAACATGGACATTGTGGCTGATTTGTATTTTTTGCCGTGCTGTAGTGGTTGATGTTTGCTGTCTTGAAGAGACTGGTGTGTAATGCTTGCTGTGCTGTAGAGATTGTGTCTGATGTCTGCTGTATGGATGAGGGTACTGTAGATACTTCTTATCCTTATGTATACATTCCATGTCTCCTTCTCACGGCATTACTATTGCCGATATACTGGTGATTTACTGTTCGTATTGAGTTGACATTCACGGAGTTTGGGACAAGGTCAATGACTATGTGTCTGAATGTGAGAGTGATGAGGCCTCACGAGCGAACGACGGGTCGGTGATCAACGCATCGCCCTGAGATATGTGATGAGCGAACGTTTCGCCGAGTGTTGTTGTTTTTACGTTATCATGAACTGACCGGCTCTTCTGACTTGTACAAAGTGAGTATCGAACAAGTGGCCGAAGTAACCACTACAGTTGTGAGTCTAAAGATATGCCTTAGACAAACGAGAAAGACACAGCTACGAGAGTTTGAACTGGAGTATGGAATGGCGTCCACGGTGTTCTGCAATCAATTTTACATGATGACATGTGTTTATTTATGTGTTCTTTTACATTGTGACCGACGGAGACCTCTATGGAAACAAGCAAGAATGAAATAGTGTTGGTTCAAATTGGTAAACTACATCGTCCTCTGACCTACGTAGCAAGCCTCCACAAGTTCCAAACTGTTTTCACCTCCTGATACACAACGACCGAGGCCTTTAGTGATCAACAGTAAGCTTCTCCACAGCCTCCAAAGCGTCTTTAAGCTGCTTCGTAAACAAATCCAACACGGACTTCTGATCTGGGCCAAGACGCTCTTCGATTAGTCGATCGACTAAGAAACAATGGTTAGCCCAGAAACTGTCACGAGTCACAATTAATTACTGGAACTTACTGCACTCGATAAGTCTATTGACGTTCAGAAGTGAATAGGACAGCTCGCCGTATGCGCGGGGACGGGATCCGCGCCAGTGTTCCAGGGATCGAGGGGAGGATTTAGCATCGCGGTTGGCATCGTTGGCCCTCACCCATGCGACGAACCGCAGTTCTTGGTCGATGATTGACCTCTTGATTTCAGAGTCTATCCCGCCTGTCTTGAGGACGAGCTTGGAGAATGACTTTCTGATTTCGCTGACGACAAAGGGGATGCCTTCTAGGCGTTCTTCTGCCTTCTGGTCAGACATGACTGTCGTGTTGGAGAGGGTAGCTGTGAGATGTTTCTGTAGACTTAGTTAGGAAAGGGGTCGGGAATGTCTTGGGAGAATATCGAGACTCTTGAATTGGCTGGTAGATGGAGTTTGAAGTTTGGGAGAACGGCAATAGAGCGACGTAGGGGTTATATATCTACAAGTTTTCGAGGATTAATTGTCACTGGAGATATCGCTACCATGTCCTGAATCTTTGCGAACTAGACGCGCACGAACAATTGTGTGATGGCGCAGACGACTATTGCACCTTGTTGGAAAGTTGAGGCAGGTCATTGAAGCAGACCACGAGTTGTGATGCCTCTCTGTACAACCTCGTGGCTAGACGAGTGCCTGTAACTGCCTTCAGCCTGGATCTTCAACAGTGAACATGATCTTCAGGGCTAGCAGCCTGTCGCGGAAAAAGAGAACAAGGACGGTGAATATTATACTTGAAGCAGGCCTTGCCATGTTGCAAGTGATTGGTTGTCGTGCCTCGCACTTCTGATCCACCAACCCTTCCCGGCTCTGCCAGGTCCTTATAAACAGTTTCTAGTGAAACCCCTTTCAGTAATACTTTTCGCCAGTGATGTTGTCCCCCATCTTCTCTCACGCCTCCCAAGGTGGTGATTTACCGCGCTCCGTTAGCTCGCGGAGAGTCGTCACAGTCTTGGAACACTGCTCCATCAAGGCGAGCGTTTGCTCGAGTCTGTCCGGAATCTCAACACCGGCTTTGTAAAGATCAACAACTTGGAGAAGAAACGTTAGCTAGAAACACGGTCTCCAAGAGAGCTACTCACTGCGCTTGAGCATCTCGCATAGATCCGTAGCTCCTTCCGTGAACTTGCTGTAAATATCCGGACGATCGTAATACTGATACGAAAGTGAACCGGGGAGCGAGGACTCGAGGGCAGCACCCGATGCTTCGACCCAGTCGAGGAACTCTTGTCGGTAAGCTCTCAGCTGCGACATCCGGGGCCATCCATCCGTGTGGCCGCGATCAAGCGCAAGGGCGACGATCATGTTGTAGGTGATTGTAATCTCTTCGACCGTGCTGGCGAGGCTCTTTCGCCCTGAAACTTGTTCGCTGGCCATGGTTGTTGAAATGGAGAGGGTTACCTCTGATGCGGTTGTGGAGGAGAGAAGATGTTTAGGTTGAGTTGTGAGTGGGATTTAGTGAGAGTGGAAGGGGGATACCGTGTTACGGTTACTCGCCATGGAAGCGGTTTATTCGCTGCGAGAATTTTTCATAAAATAAGGACTATGATTCACTGCCCAAAGAAAACAAACGGGGGCTTTCAAAATGGACCGAAACTTGCTTCATCTGGCTGCTGCATCATCCTGAGCGCCTGAAGCGCGAAGAGATGAGCAGGCGTCACAGTTGAGCTGCTAGATAACCAAGATACATCATGGTCGTCCTTGGGAGCGAGCTGACTTGAGGTTTGACTATAATCTCGAGTCCATTTCACCTACACGAGGGTGTTCTCTTAGTTGCTCTTGGTGTTCGCCATCTGTTTGATGGTTTGACAAGCGTTTTGACATAGTCCGAGCGCCCAAGCTCTTCATGTATTAATAGTTAGCATAAGTAACCATGGTTCTTAGAGCTATGGTGACCAGTGGTATGCATCCCTGGCTCAAATTCCCATATATATACACCCTCCCATTTGCGGTTCTGAAGACAAGAACCGGCCTTTGCCTCAACGCATATAATTCGACTTTTGTGGTTAATCGACTTTACCCAATCAGTATCATCCTATCCATACGACTGGGTCTTCAGGCGACTCAAGCCATTCTTCTTTGGGGAGTGTATTCAGGAACCGGTTGAGCTCCTCTATTATACCCGCGATCCTGGTTAGGGATAACCTTGCCTCTGACTGTGTATTCTTTTCCTTGTACATCTTTTCAACTAAACACGTCAACTCAAGAAATGACAGTGTCAAGGAAGCTATGCTTACGGCCTTCGATATCTGAGAGCAAGTGTCCCAGCTGTGAAAGTATCGTCTCTCTTGGATAGTCGTGGTTGCGAAACTTGTAGTCGAGCGATATCGTCGACGAGCAAACAAGATTTGCCCCAAACCTTTCGGACCACCTGCAAAACTCGTACCGCTTGACTCGGATCTGAGATTCCTCGGGGAACCTCTCGATGGCGCCTTGCTGCCGCATCATGCCGAGGAGCCTGTCCAAGGCGGCGAAGCACTTGTAGACGAGGACGTGGATGTGGTCTGGCTGGTGAGTTGTCATTTTTACGATGCTTTTGAGTGTTTGTTTGCTCATGGAAAACGGAATTTATATAGTTTGGCTTGGAGGATGGGATTCAGAGCCTTGAGCTTGCTGTCATTCACTTGGGAAAGGCGAACAAGGGAGAATATTTCATCGTGTCACCATCGTGTCACCATTTCACTGGATGTTGGCACCAAGGCTGGACATTTGGGTTGGGAAAGTGCACGTATTGCAACGAGGGACGAGGTGTTCAACCGGCAGAGTCATGGTGGTGCATGGTGTTTTCTGGATGAAGAGGGGGCTGATAGGTAGGAGGGCATAATGTTGGGGGGAACTCGGAAGATTGGTTCTGCAAGACTCTTATTAACTGTGTAGATAAACTTGTATAGGTGTCGGTAGTCTTATTCATCCGTCTTGAAGGTATCGAGACGAGGCAAACACCTGCTTCAACCTCTCAAGTGCATGTTGTGATGCCACGTGAGATGAAGCTTGACAGCTCAGAGGTTCAACCCTCTCAAACCGGTATAATGTCTCTAGTGTGACACAAAACAGTCAAGTGTAACAGCGGGGGTGCCGTCACTTGACAAAGCCGTATCTGAGCGGTCTCACCAAAAGCCAAGACACTATCATTTTCCCCTCCAATGGATCTCGATCCTAGCAGTTGACATGTCGTTAGTCCCCTATATCCCCCCAGACCGCCAATAATAGGAAGGTTTCCCCCGCCATGACTCTTATTCCGATCACGCAACGCCACAAGAGTTCCAGACAATCATCATTGGATCGGCCTTTTGACTTCTCGTGGCCGAGACCCCATCGCTCGCGCGTGCCGAGCCGGTAGAGGGTGAGAGGCCCCCTCCCCCCTTCGCTTAAACTAACCAGGTGGTTCTAGTCTATCACACCTTGTTGTTCTTTACCGTACAGAGGGGGTCAAGAAATAAATGAGATAACAGAAGAGAGAGTGACCTAACTCATAACCATATAAAATATAATAAAAGAATTAAAAGATATATCATAATAATGGTAATAATTTATAGCCTCTTTTTATTATTCTTATTATGATCTTTGGAGGAGAATTAGGTCATGGTTTATACTGGTGTGTTGTTTTTTCCTTGACCCAGGTGCGTACATCATGGTTGCAAAGAAGGATGCAAGGCCGGCTCCGGTCACCGGTCTGCACCCTACCTATGTCGTATGTAGGGCGTGCACACGCGGGGAAGAGAAAAGGGCTAGAACCTCCCATGACCGGATATCGTTCTCATGTAGCCTTCCTGAATTGTGATAGTTACTGATCTCTTGTCATTCTCGAAAAAGACTTTATCGCTTCCACCTCCGGCCCCACCCCGACGCTACGGCTATAAACTCCGAGGGGGGGTCTTAACTCAACCACGAAAAAACTATCGAGATTGTTTTCGAATTCGAGTATAGGCTTTTCAATATGACTGTTCGAACACCAGATGAGGAGAATTCCCCTCAAGAGGCTCCCTTTCGGGATGTCCCCGACCGAGCCTTTGCCATCGGGCTTGAACCTATTGTCGTTACCATGTCTAACGTGAATGGCGATTCCGAAACAAGATCGGTAGCTCAATCGACCGGCGGGGATATCGAATCCAAGATGAGTGCCTGGGTATGCGTCTTAGGATCATTCCTGTGTCTTACACCAACATTTGGTATGCCTCGTGTCTATACTCAGACTGTTGAAGTAGTCACTGACGCTTCATAGGCTTCATGCAGTCCCTCGGAACCGTCCAGTCGTACCTCAGCCTCAATCAGCTCAAGGACTACTCTGAGGGTGAAGTTGGATGGATCAGTGGCATGTTTCTATTCCTATCCCTGGTCTTTAACCTTCAAGTCGGCCCCTTATTCGACGTACACGGTCCCAACATTATCGGTCCAGTTGGGGCGCTTCTATACGTCGCCATCTTCATTTTCATGGCCGAGTGCAAGACATACTGGCAGTTTATGCTATGTCTTGGCGTGTTTGGAAGCATTGGTGCTGCCATGACAATGGTTGTTGCTGTGGCCATCGTTGGAAAGCTGTTCATCCGTCGACGCGGCCTGGCTATGGGCATTGCCCTCGCTGGTTCTTCAGTAGGCTCCGTCATCTTTCCCATCATCTTCCGGTACACGTTCCCAAGCCTCGGATGGAAGTGGTCGATGCGTATCATGGCCTTCATCTCTGCTGGTCTTCTCATCCCTGCCATGCTCTGCTTCATCCCCTTCAACAGATTACACGGGATCACTTCCGATGGTCAACCAAGACCCAAGAGCTCCGCCCTCAACCTGGCAGCCTTCAAGTCACCCGCCTTTTGCTTCGTAACAGCTGGACTCTTCATGCTCGAGTTTGCCATCTTTAGTATCGCTGGTCTCCTACCGTCTATTTCTACTCGAGCGGGCTTCACTCCAGAGGATGGCTATACTCTTTTGGCTATTATCGGTTCCACGTCGACGTTTGGTCGTATCATCCCTGGCCTCATCGGTGACCGGTTGGGGCACTTCAATGTGCTTCTCATCTCGATGGCCTTTACTATCCTGTGCATGGGCGTCATGTTTGTTCCCTTTGGTACCACCTCGGCTCCTGTACTTTATACCTGGAGCGGACTCTGGGGTTTTGGATCTGGTTCCTTTTTATCGATCACTCCAGGTGAGTTCTTCGGTGTTGATCTGCAAATAAGACAGTAAGCTAACAGGAAGTAGTTTGCATGGGCAAAACATGCGAGACAAAAGACTATGGGAGATACTATGGTACTTAAGTATATGAACCGCTTCTTGTACATGTCAGCTAACCATCTAAAAGGCACAATGAACTGCGTCATCAGTTTCGCCCTCCTCATCGCCCTCCCTACCAGCGGTAGCATGCTCGACAACATGGGCGCTCAGGCTCTGGCAGGCCTTCTCACGGCCGTCGTATTTATCGGAGGAGCTTGCTATTTCGCTGCACGAGCTCTTCTCATCGGGCAGTGGCTGTCTCCCAAGACGAAGATTTAACCAAGCTTTGGTTTTAATGTTTAATGTGTGGGATCATGAACGTTTGATGAAGGATACTCAGGGGGGGGCTGACTAACGATAGGCCGCCCCTCTGATGAACAGCCCCCTGAGTACCATAAATATGAAAGACAAGAATGGCTTTGTTTGGGGGAACTTGGGAAAAAGGAAAAGTTTGGCGCACTGGTTTTGGATCGGTCTGGAGATGACGCGTTTGGGATGGTAATGGCCATGGAAATACAGGGAACGTCAAATTGCCAACAATGTCATCTATCTGATGAAGTAGGTAGAATAAAATAATAAATCAATAATAATCTGAACTGGCCTCTAATGATGAAAGTGTTGCCTCTAGTGATAAACATGAGCACGTTACTTCTCGACGGCCTGGATTCCCCATACCTCGATGAACCTCCCTCTAAGCCTTTTTGCCATCCTCCTTGTCAGCCTTTCTCATACTAAACGCCTTTGATATCAAATTCGTCATCAAAACATTCGTCAAAGGAATCTCCCTATCCCCAATAGCCTCCCTCTGCACCTCCTCCTCCGTCGCCCAAACAAAATCCTGATGCTCATTCGGATCCAGCTTGACCTCGCTGTACTCTTCAACATCCACAATGAACGAAAACTTGCAAAAGAAGCGTCTTCCCGTGCGGTTCGTGAAAACGGCGCCGGGCTTGCCCCCGAAGCCGTCGGGCACGACGCGGCTGATGTGTCGGAGCTGGAGGCCCGCTTCTTCCCAGAGTTCCCGGGCGCAGCCGTATAGCACAGTCGGGTCCTCGTCGTCGCAGGCGCCGCCGGGGATTTCCCACTTGTTGGGCATGCTGTCGTTTGGGGCGCGTTGGAGGAGGAGGATGCGGTCCTGGGCGTCAAAGACGAGGGCGCCCGTGGCGAGTGAGTCCCACGTCTTTTCGTTGATCTTGAGCCATTCGCGGTGGTTGATGTTCCACTCCGAGACGGACTCGTCAAATGTGAATTTGAACTCGGGAGGAGTTCTTTCTGATAGGCTTTGGTCTGTCATTGTGTCGTGTGTGTGACGCCTGTTGAGATTTTGAGGTGAGAGGTGAGAGTGAGCGTTATTTTGTACTTGACTGGATGGCACGCTAATAGGCCAACCATCCCGCAAGGCAGTTTCATATTCTGCCTACCAGGCAGCAAAACCGACACAAACAAGTAGAAGCCAGTCATATGGGAATATTTGAAGCAAGCGCATTGATGGCTTTCAGGGCAGTCGGACCATGGGAAGCGGTTATTTGGTCATGTTGGCCACCGTCGAAAGGAGAGAGAAAACATCCACACGATAACAGTCTTTGCACCAGTTGGTGATTTGTAATGAACGTGCATACACACTGTCCAGTCATTGCAGTTCTAAATCCTAGGCTATCAAATCGAGCCCAGATACTAAATACATACATACATACACGAGGGAAAGACCGAATATTTGCGCATTCCCGACATGCATGTCAAACATCATGTCGGGGGTGACGGCCGACCCGTTTTCTCAACCAGTTCAAACCACTCTTATATCGTATACCGCGCTGCTTCAACTCGTGCTCGACCGGCACATTTGTTGAAAATCGAATCCTAGCTGAGGATTTCGTCTGTTGTGACATGACAAGTCCGAGTCGTTCCATGGCATCAACCCATATAACGTCTGCCAGTGATACAGCACATCGCTGGTGCTTATTCCTGAAATCCTGAGACAGTGTAGCTCAAACGTACCGTAACCCTTCGAGTAGCAAGCTGCTTCATGCGCTTGAACCGTATAATATCGACAAATGTTGAGCCTCCAACACCCCAACGCCAAACACACAAGAAAGCAAACCAAATGTGCATTCATACATCCATCAGAATATAAACAATCGCAAAGAACCACGGACTTTTGTATATAGCGCTCAAACCGGCTCGGAACGCATCAAGTCGGTGTCGATGCCGTATAATCGCAACCAAAGAATGTCGTATAAATCTTGGACAACCCGGCTTTCGTGAAACAAACGTTGAAATCAGGTCCACATAGCAAACCACATGTGATGCGCCCAGCACATTCACCTTTAGTTAGCTCGCCCATCGTTCTGGGGAATAATAGACCTCTCGGCACGAGCTCGCATGTGGTTGGCGTGCGCTTCCAGGCATCGGGCCTTGAGCCGTGTCACCGGCCAGACTGCTGCCTTGTCCAGCATCAAGGCAGTGATGCGGAGGAGTTTGGCAGCATACCCGTTATGCCCGTCCAAGTTTAGATTGGCTTCTTGGCCATTGACGCCGTTGGCGAGCTCCAGACGCATCTTCATCTCTGCCGAATCCAGGACTTCTCGCACCTTGTCGAGCAGCTTGACATCTTCCTCTTCCAAGAGCATAATTGCAGGAACCTGCCCAAGGTTCACCTGATCCTGACCAAGAATCCCGAGGTAGCGGCCGACACGATCCTGCAACGTGGCAATCCATTCAGCAAGCACCTGGGCACAGTCAAACGCGCACAGGGCTGACTGGAGAGGGAGCTCACGGCTCGTAAAGTCGGCGAACGTAACGCCGAGCTTATCCGACATGGCCAGTGAGTCTGCGGCATAAAAGGCTGCCTTGCGAAGGTGCTTCTCACGTCGAGATGTGGAACGGTTGGTTATACCAGCTGAGCCAGGCTGAGCAGAGGAAAACTGGTTGTTTGAAAGGTCCATCGATGATGTTCGGGTCGCTGGAGTTTCGGGGAATACCGAGCCCTGCATTGAGTTGTCGGACGGCTCGGTGCTGGCGGATTCAGAGTTTGAGATGGGTGAGTGCTCAGCATGTTGGATGATCTCATTACCACGAGAGAGCTCTTCGGCCATGCCGTCCCAGTCCCGCTGCCAAAACTTTTCCTTTGATCGTGAAAGATTGACAAACAGTCGGATGTAGGCAAGGTCAAGCAGTGGAATGGCATCGGCCGAGAGCGGTCCCATTCCAAATGGATTCGGTCGCTCAACACTGTTGTGAGGGTTGCTTGACCAAGCTGCTTGCCATGCCTTGAGCGCGGGCTCAATGTGGCGATGCATCTTTTCCGTCTCTTCATTCGTCCAGATCTTATTGTGATGCCTCTGCCTTGTTTCCCAGATGTAGTTGTGAAGCGCATTGATGAGAACCAGGCAGCCAAACGTGCTGGGTCTCAGATCTGTCGTCGGGAGCTCTCTCCTTTCCATCGCAGACTCAAATGGCTGTTGTCCATTGAGAGGGATTTGCGCCTGCTGTCGCTCATTGGTGCGTAGGAGCTCACCCAGAGCCTCGTGAAAGCTCATGCGGTTGTGGTTTGCTGCTTCTGCTCCACCTCTGGCAATGAACGCGGCGCTCGACTCGGCTGCAAAGAACTCTTCATCACATGGGAGATCCAGGAAGATTTCCGAGTTTGTCAATGCCGGCGTGTGGTTGTAGGCGGACACCAAGAGGCTCGAGAGGATAAACACGGCATACAGGGTTCGCTTGCGCTCTTCGCCGGACTTCCAACGAAGCCACTCGGCCTGGTCCGACTCGGCCTTCATGTTCCAGCTTCCGTCTTCAGCCATCTGCACGTCCTGACCATCTGGGCCATTTGTGCGATCCGGCTGAAGAAGATTGGCGGCCTGGGCCAGACTCACAAGCGCCGTACAGTGCGTCGAGGCAATGTCGCTCGCAGTCTTGTCGCCGCAGTTGTGACCATAGACCACGTTCAGAAGCATCGCCTGAACAAGCCACACCGGTGTGTGAACTGCACCGTCGTTGCCCTGGTTAGCTGCCGAGCTGCGTCGGATATCTGCTTTTCGCACATCGGCCTTTCGACGCTCCTCCAGATAATAAAAGATCATCTTCTTGGCCATCTCAAACAAATCTTTGGACTGGGCAGGCTCCATCTCGTACAGGGCACCGATGGCTGCCATAGACAGGATCAGACAACCACTACCACCTACACCGGGGCGACTATTTGTGGAAACGGGCATGTCGAAGGACAAGGTTGGAACGTGCAGAAAAGGCAGATGGGGGTGGAAATAGGCAAGATAAGCACCAACGTATCGCTGGAGGTCCTGGGTACTGGGCAAACTGGCTGCTTGAGGGGCGGCGGCAGTACCGGCAGACTGGGAGAGTGGCGACTGAGGTGAGCCCTGAGAAGTAAAGGAATATTTACGACCACCAAAGGGCAGGCACTGGGACAGGATGTTCACGATGGCATTCCGGGTGGCATCTGTGATGGTGGTCACTGGCGAGGCACCGTTGTTGCCACCATGAAGAGATGAAGGCGTCTCCGGGCCCGCGTTGAAGCCAAAGGTCTGGTTAATGTTCTGAGTGTTGAGCCCCGATACGACAGATGGGCTCAACGAGCTCAGCGAGGGTGGAGGCGTAGAGAAGTAAGGGTCATTGATCTTTTGAGTAGCTGGCTGAGGTGATAACGGGGCCCCATTCAGGAGATCCGGGAAGACTGACCCATTAAGATCCATCGCAAAAGGGTTCGGCATCTGTGGAGGTCCCATCACGGAGGGTTGCCACATGGTACTTGTCCCAGCCGGCGCCGGGTGATTCGACCCATCCAACATCACATCGCTAATCCCGCTCTGACTCGTCGTGCTGATTGCGGACGGACTAGATCCGTCAACCACGTTCTCGTTTGTGTTAAAAGACATCTGATGTTCGAAACCAGTCAACCAGTCAAAATTATCGTCCAGAGTTTGACTCGTGGGCATCTCGCCCATGGGCTGCCCGAATGGCGAGGCCTGTTCCAAGACCATCGACTGCGGCGACTCGCTGTAGTGCAGAGCGTTCGGGTTTATTGTGGTGCCCGTGCCGCCAAAGAGCAGACGGTCAAAGTCGAATTCAGCGCTGTAGGCGGACATCGGGGGCGCCGTCCTGAGACCGTTAACAAAATCGAGGTTACCGAGGGCTCCCGTCTCAAGCTTGGGAATGCCTGGCTGCATGGTGCGCTGGCCCATGGCGGCCGACATGCCACCAAAGATGTGGTCCATGTTGTGAATTGGCAAGCCCGCGAGGCTGGGGTGTCTGCTGTGCGTGTGGGTGAGAGGAACGCCGCGGGCGACCGAGGCATTGGCGGCTGCCATCATCTGCATGGCAGTTCCATCAACATGGCTGATGGTGTTGGCACGAGGCCGCATCGAGTTGGCCGCGGCATTGGGGGCGGTGGGATTGGGACCTGCGACGCTGTTCTTGCGGGCGCGGCTCTGGCCAGGAGCGACGCCGGTGGTGGACTCGCGGCGATTGCGAGGACGGGAGGACGGGGTCGAGGTCTGGTGCAGCTTCTGCTGGTGACGCAAAAGCAGGTCACGGCGGGCAAAGCATCGAGCGCACTCGGGGCACTCGAAGGGCTTCTCCTTTGTGTGGGAGCGCTCGTGTCGCTTCAGATGTTCCAATCTGGCAAACGAGCGCTGGCAGGTTCCGCAGACGTGCGGACGAGGCTTGTCCGTCTTTGGAGGAGGGAAATTGGCAGGCGCCTTTGTGTTGACTGTGATGGTCGACGCTGGCAGGGTCAGCATGCAGAATCGGGGCAGTATCGGCGGGCGGTGCGTGCGGGTCGATGCTCAGGAACATGAGGGGCAGTGCCAGCAAAGGCGGGATTGCTCACCAGAGTCGTCGGTGGTGGAGGGCGCGGTGCCCGCGGCGGCGGCGGACGCGGCGGCGGAATTGGACATGGTGAGAGTAGGACGCGAGACTCTAACGCCAGAATCGTTGATTACCATGGCAAGCCGTCGAGTTCAAGTCGAAAACGAAGCGTCGAGGTTGAAAAGAGCTCTGCTGTGCTGCTGTTGGGTGGCAGACAGGCAGTTTCGTCGTGGGGCGGGAGATTGAGCGACCGAGGAGCGCGATAGGATGGCGGGGAGGTCTGGCGGGCGGCGGGCGCGGGTCGATTGTTTTTGGCGGGGGAGGTAGAGATAAGAGAGAAGACGTCGATAATCAAAACATGAATGGGATAGAGGCGTGTTCTGTGGCCGACAAGAGCATGCTCTTCAGTATGCGCACACAAAAGTAGCAGAGTGAAGTGAAGCAATTCAAGTCGTCGTCGAGAACACGCCAGCGAAGCAGGAGCTGCTTGGGGAAGGAGGAAAGAAGAGAGAGAGGGTGAGTGAGAGTGAGGCAGTGGCAGTGGAGTGGGAAGGGGAAGGTTGGCGCCGAAAAGGGTCCAGGGAAGGAAGCAGGGACACTGTGCGAGACACTGTGGGGCACCGGAGGACTTGATTTCCATTCAGCGTTGGGGGGCGTGGCCCCAGCTGCCGTTTCCTTTCCCTGGGCTGGGGCGCATCAAGTTCCCGTGGTTCGCTCCGAGTTTGGTACCCTCGCCCGCCAGCAGCGCAGCACCCGTACAGCATCCTCTACCCCCGGGCTGGCAAGGTTAGGTTAGATTCCCTGCTCTTGCTTGGGCTTGGGCTTGCACTTGCAGCCCAGGCCCTGGATTGGGTTGCTTGTTGGTGCTGCAAGGCCGTCCATGAGGAAGGCTGCGGTTGTTCCAATGTCCTCAACTCTGTCGCTTCTCAGTGTCGTCATCGGTTTGCTTGCCTGCACCCTGTCAGACATTTTTGCTCATTGAGGCTCAGAGAAGGTACGGATTTTGAGTGGCTAGAGGTACAACGTTACTTGCTGCTTGACCCTTCGTGCGTCAGGCTTCATGGTGGTGGGATGGACTAGCAAGCCATGCCATGGATGGACTGAAAGAATTCACCAGACCGGCCGCTATTTTCCTCTGGCTCCGAATGCGACCCAATATACCGCTTGATCATATTTGAAAACCTTTTTTAAACACATGGTCTTTTACATTATAGCTTTTCTATCGTTTCCCCATCTTTTCCACTTCTTGGCATGATTCTGCCGTGACAGTGATCGTGATCAGTTATCTTGAGTATCCATTCTCTGAACCGTGGCGAGCCTCTTCTGCCCTGCTTACGATCCGGCCCTTCCCAGGTACTTCTCTCGGAGGTCCTATCTCAAGTACCTCCGGGGCCAGCCAGGGCAAGAACAGGGCACAGCAGGCAGCACAAGTCCGCTCAGGGTACTTAGCGCGGCGGGCGCGCATCTGGTACTTCCCGAGGCACGGTCATGGTCCAACTGACCCCGGCTTGGTGATTTACAGGGGGTTTTAGCCATGGATGAGTTGGATGTCAGATTGCAGGGTCCTCTCAAAGGCTATCACGGATCATATTCAGAGTTGAAAGCAAAACCAAGTGCCGTAACACAATGTCACTATTCCATAGACTCAAGTTCTGCTTGTGCTTGCGTCGTATGCATCTTGTCTGTAAGCCCATTGGATGTTCACACTCGCCGTTGCTTCGCCGCGCAACCTCTTTTGCCACGGCATTTGGCGCTCTGCACCGAGAATAGGTAGGCCGTCGAGCTCGGGATGGCTGCGCCGGACTGGACTGTTTGGATGTGCACTGTACGCCGCAGACGGCCACCGAAAAAATTAACCCAAAACTCGGCGTTCAAGACGACAGATGTCCGAATGATGGATGACGTTGGAAGAGTGCTGAATGCATAAGAGGTCCTATGCAACTTTGAAAATTTCTACCAGAGTCTAACAATGGCTCCCTCCCCGTGACCGACAGCTTGAGCTTCATCTGAAGTTGGTGATACGAGAGGCCGAGGTTCAGCGCCGGTAGCTCGGGCTTTGATCCGTCGCTGTTAGCGGACGCTCACTCGTCACGCCCTGGTTCGGGCACGGCCCAGATGGCAGAGATACGATACCACGAAACAACTCCAAGACCGTTTCCGGACGCTCTCAGGCTCTTTTCTCTCAGGCTCACGCAGCTGTCGTATCCTGGCGCTTAATCTCGCTGGAACAAGATGGACTGGGCTTGGAAACACCAACGTAGGATTGGCCCAACAGCTAGTCGCTGGTTGGCCTGCAGAGCTCCCGATTGGGAACTCTGGATGGCCAGCTTCTAGGACATAGATGCCCGTCGGTGCCCACAAGCCTGTGTCAAAGACACGCAACAAGCCTCAGATATGGAGCTTTGCTGGTGTTATTATTATTCATTTCCTGTAACTCAATGACGAGACGCGACAGAATGACGTGCAGCTGCCTGTTTCTCCATGTCAAGTCCATGTCTAGTCCATGTCCAAGCGCCCGTTTTGTTTGTTGAGACAGTGGACAGGTCGTGGATTCGACCCCGTAGTTGTAGCGAGCCCGTGATGCCCTGGCTGTCTTGCCCTGGCTGTCTGGGGCTTTTTGCGGCAATTATTCCACATGCACTTTTGTGTGTCTGAGGATGATGGCATGGCGTCTTTGAGAGGCTCCAGTTCGTGACTTGCCAGAGCAATAGTCTGTTTTCTCGACCCTGAGACGATGGAATGAATGGTCAGAGGCTCTGCTCATTTGGTTCTTGGCTGCTTGAACCCTAGAGCTTCCCGAGTAAGGCAGTCAGTCCAGACTATGGCGGCTTGACCCATGACCATGACCATGCGCCTTTTTTCTACTTGATACCCTATCCTGTTTGATCTTTCTCGCCCGAACGATGCCCTGGACTGATTTACGACAAAATAGCATCAGGTATTTGGCCGCGATCAGTCGATCAATGCCTTTGTTGCGGCCGGTTGATGCTTTGCAGGGGAGGCTGCTCGTAGGACGCCAGCTGATTGCCCAAACTGTCGTCGTACTGAGCGGGTCCCCTACTCTCCACGTTAGCGTGAGTCCTCATCTTGGGCTTGTCACTGTGCGAGGCCTATCATTGCTCACGGCCCAGCCAACCCAACACGACCGAGGATGATGACCATTGTCTGTGACGAGATTGTTGGTTCTAGTCGGCTTAGACGAGGCATTCTCGTGCAAACATGGATCAAACCAACAGCCTCGTGAAAGGCTCTTTCTGGGGCGAGGGAAATATACCCTCGTCAATAGTTTACTGTAAGCTCAGACTCAAAAGCGAGGGTTCACAGTACGTGTGTGCTAGCAAGCCCTATCTCTGGGTGAGACGCCCAAAATTATTCCCTTCCATCTTCCATGGAACCCATGGAACCCTGTTGAGAAATTCACTAACAGGTGGCAAATGTTCTGGACGGGCTCAAGAATTGAGGCTGAACCGGCTCATCAGTTAAATGACATATGCCACCCAACCTTGAGCTTGGCTTGGAGGTGATGGGAGCTTGACCAGCGAGACCGAGAGCGAGGGCAAAGTGATGCTGTACTGTACATCTGCATAACACCAACCCCCGAAACCCACCGTCTGATGCGTTTCAAAGGCCTCAAAGTCGCAGACGTCCCCTACACTCTAAAGTATTAATAATACCACGAGCCACGCGGTTCCAGACTTGTCAGTGGCCCCAGATTTAGCTGACTGGACTCGCCCATGGTCGGATTTTAGACAGGGACCGTGCGCCGGCCCTTGGGTCCCTACTGTCCTCCGTGATGTCTCGTTAGCCCGGGCGAGCATGAGGCCGCACGTTGTTGTGTCACACAGACTCACAGAGTCCCGCCGGGTCTCAGCCATGGCTCTGCAGCGAATCGAGGCTACGACGCACACTTGTTTCCTCTTGAAAACTGCCGGGGGACCATCCATCTCATCCCATGCCATCCCGCCATCCATCGAATGTCGAGAAAATGCACCGCCGGCCAGACCAAGACCAGATGCTGCGACGGGTAAACCGCCGCGATCCACCTGCAAGCAAGCCAAAGGGACCCAGGTCTTGGCTCGACACGCCAGCGACGAATCGCAACGCCTTGTGCCCGGGGGATTGCTTGCTAGGGTGGCAACCAACCTTCAAGCGTCGACGCTTCTGGGTCCCACGTCGTTGCGACCGACCGTCGACCATCCTGGGGGATGAGGCTACACGCTTGATTCGATCTTGCTTCTTAGCGCCTGCTCCGAGCGCCGCGATCACTTTCAATCGCCCGCCCGCTTGCCGTCGACGGACGCTCGACTCGGTCTCAGACTATCGCAAGTATTGTCTGTAAGCGACGCTCACCGCTAGATTGGCTGGCATATGGGCGAAATGATGAGCACCGAAGCCCGCCGCGGCCGAGAGACACCGGCGCTCCGTCAACTGCCCTGAGACGGCTCGGCCAACATGGCTTTCATGCGAGCACGAATGGGGTTTCAACGGCAGAGGCCCTGATCCCTGTCCAACACACCACGAGCCATGTCGCTGCTGCAGTCACAGGACCTCCTCGCCACGCCGACCACAAGGAATGTGCGGCCGCTGCGTCCAACGATATGGCACCTCGTCCCCAGGCGCTAGATGAATCGCATGCCCGCCTGCATGGCGCTCATTTGATGCTCTGCTCCAATTGACCGGCTGCTTCACCGAGGATCCAGGAACACGGCCAACTTGGACGTGCGTCCTCGAGATGCGATGCGGCTTCGGGGACATGTATGTCCGCGCCCATGTTCGAGATAAGCAGCTATCATTGGAACCTACAGCTACATATGCAGTGAGCCGTACCAAGTCTCGAATTTCCTTGTGTCAAGACTTTGATATCCGGACAAGGAGGCGGCATGTCGAAACCGCTGCCCTGCCTATGCCTGCCTGCCTACCTTTGCATCAGACGCAGGCCTGTCAACCTGCAGCTCGGCGCCGTAAGCACTTGAGCAAGATGTCGCCGCGTCCAAGGGAGCTTCCCGAACTCTTCATGATAAGAGAACTAGACGTCATCCACGCTATCGATACTCCTAGCTTCTCCAACTCGCATCCTCGTAATCACGGTTAGCAGAGTGATCCTTGCCCCTGGGCCCTGGCTATCCGCTGCACAGCCCCGAGATGCGCCAAGCATCACCGGTGGGACATGATCCTGGATCCCCAATCTGCACGAATGCAGCCTGATGCTTCGATGCCTTCGTCACAGTGGATACCACAGAGTTTCCCGTCCCACATGCGCTGCGACAAATCACGGCTGACGTTCCAGAGCCAATGCCTCTCTTCAGAGGGAGTCTCAACTTGATGCCTCCCGCTGGATACGGAGCAACATCTTCAAGGCGACATCGGGTAGCTGTGGGTTATTCTCCACCATCCTACAGATGAGCCAAGAGTCCATATCTGACGAACGGGGAGCAGGCAATCCCCCATGCATTCATGACAGGGAAGCGGTGCGTCTGTGCATCTGGGGACGATCAGGGAGACGGAGCTCGAGAAAAGGAAGCTCGATGCCCTTGCTCTCTTCTGACCTGCTGAGGCTGATTCAAGGATGCCCGGCATCGGACTAGGGGTAAAGCTCCCCGAGCAATTTCTCCAAAAGTTCTCCAATCCGCTGTGACCGGAGGTTCCCTTGTTCGTACTTTGGCTTCACCATCAGCCCTAGTATGGCAAGCATTGACCCCGAATTGCATGTTGGAGGTCAAGTTGGCCGCGTCTTGGGTCCTAGTAATGGATCCGTAGCTCACGCAAGAATACAGGCACAGGCCTTCGTTGCCTGCGGAATCATGGAACCCCAGAATCCCAGCTCCAGAAAGAGGCATATCTCCATTGGAGTCTAGGATTAAAAGAGGTCAGGTGCAACTTTGGCCCACAGCTGGAAGCTCATGCAGCCACGTCGGGTATGCTTGTCGGTTTGGTGATATGCCATTCGCTCGGGGCCAAGGAGGCCAAATGAGCGATGTCGCTCGGTTATCACGGTTGTCCTTCAAAGCATTGAATCACCATGACGAGCGTCAAGAGAGTCGGACATTGCTGACATAACAGACAGTTTCTTCCAACGCTTTGCATCGGTAACCGCGCGTCGCAACGGTTGAGCCATGTCTCTTGTTCGGAGCCCATCTCGCATTGCGTTCTCATGCTAGGAATTCGTCGAATCTTGGGTCTGCCACACCTCGCGCCTACTGCGTATGCGTGTGAGACCAACATCTGGGCTGGCCAAATCCACAAGCCAGAATGGGCTGCGCACGCTGCTCTTCCACGTTTTCCTCCCTCCCTTGCGCCTTTGCTTGGTCTGACCCCTGCACGCCACCAGTTGTCGACTTGAATCCAGTCGGGACATTTGGCCATGGAATAAGCCACGGCCTCGCCCATTGGTCTGGCATCCAGCTGTCGACTTCACACAGTACGAGCTTGTGTGCTGTTGGCGGCCTTGAGGGCACTCGCACTCCCCCCAGTCACCGTGCTTTTGGCTACCCCAAATCCGTCTAGCGGAGCCAGGCCTGAGTCCATCCCCCAGACTCGCTCGCCCACCAAAGCATAGAATCCGGGGCCCGCCCCGGTCTGGGGAAGGTCGTTGGTTTTGCAGGCCCCCTGGCCCTTGGGTTGACGGCGCACACACCATTCAGCAGCCATCCCTGACTTCCCCAGATTTTGCTGATTGCGGCGCCCCGTTGACAGGAACTGGGGATGAGGCCTCGACACGAATCAAGGAGACTTTGGAGCTGACTCTCACGGGACTAGCTAACTCCTGCCAGCGCGACGCCTCGGTCAGCGCTCACCTCTACGCCCTCTCGGATGTCGCGGTGTTTTTGAGCCCCGAGAGTACGACTTTACGTTCCTGAAATTCCGGACAAGTTTAACTGCCATGAATGGTAAGCTTCAGGCTGCATGCCCAGGCAAACTTTTCATTGGCGGCGTCGTCTGAGCCTCGGGGTGGTGACGTCCCGGTTCCATCACGGGCCTGGGCGTGTGCCAGCAGAAGTCGAAGAAATTTTTGATGGAGCGTCAGCCAGACCTCACGGAGAGATTCTACCCAAGCCTAGTTATTGCCGAGGATGAGGCTCCTAAAACCACCATCTCCGGGTAATCAAGTGATGATCCTACCAAGCTAGTGTTAGTCGCACTTTTGGGATGCCCCCTTTTTGGCTAACTTGAAATCAGGGCCGGTTGGAAATGCCGGCAAGTTGTTGCGGCCTTGCAGCATTGGCCAGTTTGGAGGATCTCATGCAAGATGCTGCGAGCCGTTCCTCTTGGGATAGACGTGGGCTCTGCCAATGTGCCCAGGCCTTTGACTGGCATAGATGGTTGCGCAACGGAGGCAGAATACCACACCAGGGCTCGTTCCCCGTACCATATCGGAGTGTGTCTCGAATTACCCTTGGAAGGTTAGAACGGGCGTCCACTAGGCGCCCTAACGTGGAGTGCCGCGGTATCGGTAAGCTAAACGCCTTTCACAGATGGTTGTTTGCTTTTTGCTTGACGCTGCCCCAGAGCGAGGACGCAAGAGGCAACTACTCCTTGGACCTGCATGAGACGGGGCATCGACTGATTCAAAGCAGATGCGCCATGGAGAACAACCAAGTCATGAGAGAGAACATGCGATGTTTCTTGGATAAGCAACACATCTGGGAGGCTGCAGGGGCTGGCACACACACACTCGCGCGCACGCACATTTGGCTTTGGCCATGAACGGCGGGCCCTGTGGCGCTCCGTTTAAGCCGCACCAGGAATGTCTGCGGTGACGAGGGTCCCTGTGAGTTATTTACAGACTGGCCACTCGGACGCGTTTGCGCCACAAGGACGATTGTGTCAGTTGATGAGGGTGTCGAGGTCTCGACAATCAAGCCAAGTCGATAGCTTTGTGAGATGAAGATGAGAGCGCAACTAACCAACTCGAGCTGAAGGTGTTCCGGGGTGCGGAAAAGGTTCCGTAATGGGTAGAATCGGCGGTGGCAGTCTCTTGTCTTGGTGTGCCAACCGTGGCGAGGAAAAAACGCCCACGAGATGGAACTGTCTGTCGTGAATTCAACGGTTAATCGTCGGGGGCGGTGTATCTGAGCGCCAATTCGCTCATATTCTCACAGGACAGGCGCCTACGGATTGGATGAATGTCAAGTCAGCTAGACCAGGGAGTTTCGGGCCTTCGTTCCTCTTGAGCGGATAAGGGCTCCACTGGAAAACCTCAACTTGAGCATCATTCTTGAGTTGTCGGGAGTGTTAGTGGCAAAGTGGCGCTCGCGAAAGGGCCTCGAAAACCTGGTTTCAAGAGTCCAACTCAGGCAAAGTCCAGTGTGCGAGGACGGGCAGATGCGACACTGTGCCGTCATGCCCAGGAGATCTACGCTGAGGTGATCAGCAGGGTCCTGACGAGTTTCGGCAAATCATCAGCAACGCGCGTGGGCTTCCTGTGGGTGCGTTGCGTTTTCTTTTTCCTGGCCTGGCGAACGAACATTGGGGGCGACGATGGGGCACTGTGGCATGACAGTTCACCAACAGACGCAATGCGGTGGGAATCATCGTACGGCAACCCGACGCCTCGCGACAAGTGCCGTTGAGGTTTAGAGCTGAATTGGCGTCTCTGTTGATCTCATCGGCGACGAATGGCAAGATCTGCGATGCGACTGACGTACGAGAGGTGTCTTTGTTGGGATTCGCAGCTGCGTGAAGAAAACGGGCGGATGCAGAGCCCTCGTGTTCAAGCTTACACTGGACCCAAGACGAAACAGACCCTTCAGACGAGTTGGTTCACGACATTTGCATCCACCGGGCGGCAGTCAATGAGCGTCAACAGCCTTGAGATTGAGAATGGATAATAATCGCTCAGTCCCCGATGACGGCGTCCACACAGCGTCCACACATGCCGATACCAGAGCTGCCGCGTTTCAAGCCCGACAGGCAAAAGCCATTCAGACGAGATCTAGAACTCGGCTGTGATGAGAGGACCACCCGAATCCGCTGCACTGCGTTAGTGAGGCGTTGTTTTTGCGCGCACCGGTGGAGCAAGAAAGTCAACGGGTCTTCTAGAATGGAGAATTCACCCGGTGACTCATACCCATCTTACCCATGCCATGATCGGACCTGATTGCGATGGGGTCTTTTTTCACATGAGGCTGGAGATGCGACAACGGTTGGGGTGGTCTTGGGCGCCAACTCTCGTGGGGGTCGTCGCCTTAGCTCCGAGCGAGCACTCTCACCATCCTTCTCTGAAGTCTCGATTAACAATGGCAATTGGTAGATGGACTTGGGTCTGTCAATGGCCGGCTCGGTCCTCGCATTAAGCGCCAATTGCTACTGCTACTGTCCAGAGCTATGGTGGGCACCACCCCGCCAGTTCGACTCGACTGTGCTAACACATTGAGCCTATTATTAACCCAATATTACTCCCACAACCTCGAGTCTGGATCTGCTGCTGAGAGGGCTGAATTGAGCTTCAAGGAACGAGATCAAGATTGATAGACAAGACTCTGCCCAGCCTCACCCCTCGTCATGAGCTCACGAGGGCCGCCATGTGCAGGCCACCCATTGGCGCGAGATGGACATACGTCATTGGCCCATTCCAAGGCAAGAGCGTCTGAAAACCAGGCTGCAGAACAAAGAGGCTGCGTATTTGTTGGAGTTGTCCGCTCTGTTTGGCCTGCGTGAGGCATTTCGCCAAAGACAATCGTGAGAAGATTGAATCAAGATTTTATTACTTATACGTTTGTTGTACCATTGCCAGTGTTAGATCTACCAGCACAGCTTCCATTGTATCACCCAGCCATCATGAGACTTCTCTTGTTACCCCTTGTGTCCCTCTTGGGGGTCACCCTCGCCGCAGACGACGTCGTTACAATCACCGCTCCAGCAGCAATTCCATCCAACGAGCCCGAGTGGAAGAATGACAAAACCTTCGTCAGCGCTGTTCTCAACAGTACGGATTTTTATAGGGCGGAACATAATGCGAGCTCACTGGAATGGAATCGCACACTTGAAGATTTCGCAACAGACTACCTGGACGACAACGACGACTGCGAATTTGAGCACTCTGGCGGCCCTTATGGAGAGAATCTCGCAATAGGCTATGGTAATACGACTGCGAGTATCGAGGCGTGGGGTGATGAGCGTGAAGATTACGACTTTGACAAGCCAAAGTTCAGCAAGGCGACCGGGCACTTCAGTCAACTTGTCTGGAAGGATACGACTGACGTTGGCTGTGGAAGGAAGCTATGTGGAGACAGGGGATGGTTTCTTGTTTGTGAATACTGGCCAAGGGGGAATGTAATCGGGCAGTTCACAGATCAGGTTAACAAAAAGGAGGGCAACGATGCTGTGAGACCTAGGCCTGGTGTTGCATTGGCGTTGGCTATTGTCGTTGGATATCTCGTCGTTTGGGTGTAAGCTTGCATTGGTCATTGTTGTTGGATATCTCGTTGTTTGGGTATGAGAATGGGATAAAGGTTTGGACATATGTTGAAGCGTGGGAAGACGGGACTCATGCGGGACATGAGTTGGCATATACCACCACAGTCTCTTTGTATATCTCCCAGTAGATTGATGATACTTATGGATACATGATATTACGCTCTATACACTTCTAAGTCTCATTGTTGATCTCTAGACGTTTTGTGTTGAGTTCACATGCCCCGACGCGATCCGTAATCCATCTCTCTCCTCCCATATATCTCCAAGCATTGCCAAAGCCCAATACGTTATGAGTTCCCTAGACCTCAACAACATAGGCCTTGTCAGTGCTGTATTCGGCAGCTCACAAAGAGCCGGGTTCACTCCCAGAGTGTATCTGATCTTCGCCTACTTCTCCTCAGGGGTGGGTGGTAACATGCGTATCCTCAAAACCCCCCCTCATCTAAAACCAAAGGTGCGGCCGCCACTGCCCCATGCTCTATCAAATTGAAGTACAGTGTCAAGCAAGGCTTCTAGTGACGAAGCCTGGGGCATTTCAACCACTCTCTGGCCTCGTTTCTGTTCAATAAGCGTGCGAAGTAGAGTGCGAGACGCCACACCGGATGTGTAGCCATTAAACCAGTCTGAGCCATGATCCCCCTTGATCGTGAACTTCTCAAGGGAAGGACTTCCCAGCAGATGAAGAGCGAGTCCTTGATATTCCCTCATCTCTTCGTAATGGGCGTCCACGATGAGCGTCAAGTTCCGCAGACACCGACGAGGAGGCGGCAAAACCATCCTGAGGGGGAGCTGCTCTTTCAGCCAGGGCTGGAATCGGATGGTCAAGTCTTCAAAGGCCGTGGGGCACATCTCCTTGTACATTTTGATGCAGGTGAGCATCAGGGGATGCGCGATCGAAACGCCCTTGTACCACTTGATCACTCTCCCTTCAATAGGTGGGAGGAGGTGACCAGTGGCCTTGATTTCGGGGTGTTGCTTGAGATATTCGCGTTGGATGATGATGCGTATCTTTAGGGGGAGGGAGAAGAAGCGGCTGTTCGTCTGGGGATGCATGGTGTCGCGTGCTTGTGTAGGTGTTGCGGTATAGTGGGAGTGATGCGGGTGTGTATAGGGATAAAAGTTTGAGAGGTATTGGATAATGATCCGCTTCTTATGTATTATGTATCTTCATTCACCCCATGCTTGCTTTACTACTGTCCAGAGGCTAGGTTGGTTTGCCTATGGGTATGGGGCCTCTTGTTTGCCTTTAAGATAGATGCCTTGAATGCACTCTACTACAATGGGCACAATCACTCTTTCACCGCGCTTGTTAGGTATGAAAATGGTTATCTGGTCAGGAATGGGAGTGAAGAAAAGGGGTCAATGATCAAGCACGCATGTACAGATGGTCAAAGATTATGATTATCTTCTCGCTATTTTATGACCATCTACTCTAGTCTTATGATGAGTTGGTCTTTATTTTACGAGTAATTACTCCTAAGTTCATACACATCTCTTCCTTTGTTACGACAGGACGTGATCCAGTCGAGGAGTTCTGTATCTCATCACATAGGTAAGTGAGGTTTATTGACCCAAGAGATGGACATGTCGTATGCAACGGTTTAGTCACTCATCTAGCCCTTCACAAATACTTATTAGTAGTAACCGATTACAGGTCGAAGTTCCCTTATGGTTAGATAAGTGCACTCATCCCTATTCATTGTAGATATTTAGATCCTTATTCTGGAGGCCCTTTCTCTAAATGATATCGCTTCTCCTGTTCAGTTCCGACTTCGATATATGGGTATACACTCTTCCACTATAGCATCTGTACCCATATTGGACAAAAGAATGTCAGAAAATTGCTCGAGAGTCGGATTTGCTTTCGCGACCTTTGAGCATTGCGATCGACAACCCTGGGACCTCTGGGGCATCTGGCTCACGATGTTCGGGGTAGCGAGTGAGCTCCAGCCACCTATGTACTCCGCCAAACGGCCCAGGATAACTCCATGAAGTATCCTTAAAGGAGTTCCAGAAGTATTGAGCTCAACGATGTGGCTGTACGCCTTGGAACCTGATAGTCTGGATGTTTTGGCACTCGGAGAGTGCTTCCATGATAGAACTGATATAGGCTTCCCAAGGGTGCCATTCCTCGCGCCCGACCTCAATAGTAGGACTTATGTTGCATTTTATGTTAAAGTCTTTTGTAGTTGATCTTTCTTTGGCCTTGGGCTTTTTGCTGCCACGCGTGGTCAGTGGGCATGGCGTGTCCGAGTCTAGGATGCCGCGCTCAAACGACATTACTGTCAAGTGTTCAAGGCGATCCCAGTGCAACTTTCCATGTACAAACAGAGAATCTCCGTCTTGGTCTGCGCGAGAGAAGATGTGACTTGAGGCAAACGGCTGCGCCTCCTGGAACATCTGCCTGGACGTCAGCAACAAAGCAAGCATGTTACGACTGTTATAGTTTGGCAGGAATTGGTGGTTCTCTAGCAACTCACCAGGCTCGACTATATAAAATTCTTCGGGAGAAGGTTCAAGATATGTTCTGATAATCTCGGTGCGGATTTCTGGGGGTAGGTGGAAGAAGGGGAAGTATCCTAGGGAGTCCATGGCAGACGGATATAAGGGGTTTAGTAACTTGGCATACTACAAGGCGGAGCATGATCAAAACATAGAATAGCCAACAAGATAACAGAGGAAAATAAAGGACTTTAAGTACTCATAGAATAGTTTATATACTTGCGAGAAGAGCTGTTGTAAACAGACTTAGTGGCTGGACGTTCAGCGGTTTCTTCCGTCTTTGGTTGATCAGTCTCACATCACATGAACATATTACACCAAAGTCAAAACTAGTTCCATCGTATGTAAAGACATTTAGTGTGTACAATGTTTATTTTAGATTGTTTAGCGTCTCTTTATTAGAGGACAAAGCGCATCGCAACTCGGGACAAGCCCTACCCTACGTCAATATTTGCTCAACTCTGGTCATACTGACGTATTATTTAAAAGTTTAAAACTAGTGCTGATTTTTATAAGTATATGTAGCAGAAAGTATCGAGAGTGTTTGTTTTATATAGTCCTGCAGGTTCGTGTGAGAACAGAGAGTGCTTCAACTTTACAGAGGGGCGCGTGTATCAAATCACGAAACATGCATAGTTGTCACTTGAAAGCAACGCTGTAAGTCTCCGGCGTACTTTCCATAAAGCAAGTGAGGGACTGTTGTCTCCTTTTCTCTGGCATTCCCCCTTTGAAGTATGAAACAGTGGATTAGTGCTGGGAGAACGCAGGACCAGGGGACGTGTCCTGACCTGTCGCACCTGGCCAATACATGGCTCTTCTATGCCAAGATGAAACATGTTTCGAGCTGATACAGTGCTGTGGCAGCATAACAATGGGCTTCTGTTTTCGAAGTGCTCCATATTGCTGTATAGATAGTCCAGTTTGGGAGGAGGTGGTTTGTTCAAGGAAATGAACTCAACAGCCAATGAACCACACACCTCACTCGAGTAGCAAAAAGGATATAATAGAATTACCTATCTACTACAAAAATTATACAATTCACATGCAGTTCTCAATGATCATGGAAAGTAACAAATGCGGTTGGAGTTTCAGGCCGTTGAAGCCTGGGGCCGTGGCCCGGTCGGCGGAAAGTTTCTCCGGACCCGCCCAGATTTTGGGTTGGCGTTCAAGCTCCCACTTTGATCTTGCGACGCCAGACTCGCGGTGATTGAAGACGACCTTGATATCCTCGCCCTCTCATCCCAATCTACGGTCCGACGACGCTCCCGCTGTATTCAACAACTCTTGCGCTCCCCGATTCACAATGACTGGTCGTGGTGGTGGCGGCGGTCGCCGCGTTCTCCTCTTGCCCATGTAAGGCTCTAGCTTTCCCACATGCGACATCGCGACGCGAATGTTGCCTTGGTCGCTTGCGAGACAGTCTGCTAACAAGCTGCAGTAACTTCATCTTCAAGCTTCTTCAATCAGTGAGTTTTACTCCAATCACTGTTGCGCGCGCTCGCGCTACCCCGAGCGCTTGACCGCCGGCTGGCTTCGAGAGACACGATCACACCGACGATATTTGAACATGTGCGCGCCTAGAGCTGGGCTATGGCTTGTGGTCAGGCGGAATATCGCGAATCGATGATCACATGTGTTGGGTTTATTCTCACTGCTATGCTATACATATGTTGGGCGGGACACTGTTCTCCTGGAATGGTTGTTGAGCCCAGTTAGATGTTGCGATGGACGCGGTGTGGCATATGGCCCGTTACGCTTATGCTTGGGATAGCTTGGTCGTGTCCTCGAAGCCCAGCTGCGCATTGAGAACTTTGGTCTGCATTCGAAATAGTACTAACTGGTTGCAGCATGCCACCGTCAGCGTCTGGCTCTATGAGCAGCTCTCCATTCGCATCGAGGGCAAGATTCGGGTCAGTAACCAGCTGCGTCTTTACGGCAACTCTTTCTAACCCGTGTATCTAGGGCTTCGACGAGTTCATGAACCTGGTTATCGACGACGCCGTCGAGGTTAAGCAGATCACCAAGACCAACGACAAGGAGACTCGGAGACCTCTGGGTACGATCAGTACTCCATACAAGCACGATATTCGCTAACTTGTTCTCCAGGCCAGATTCTGTTGAAGGGAGATAACGTGTCATTAATCCAAAGCTTGACTGGTTGATGGATAGGGCATCGAGTTAAGGGCGTGTGGAACCAACATGTGAACTGCAGTCTGCTGGAGGGGAAAATTATACCAAGCCGCCTGGGCCAAAATATGATGGCCAATGAGGCACCTGTCATGACACGGAAAGACAGCTTGCGAGTACGAGGTTCGTCATACCGCAATAGCTAGGGGCACGCGGAGAAACGAAAGACTTGACTTGGGCCATAGCTTTGCTTTGCATCTCCGCCGCAAGAGATACTCGTGCACGAATAAACCCACGTTTGCCTTGAGAGCGCCCGCAGTGAGTTTGCTTTCGTAACACCCGACGTTTGACGTCTCCAGCAAGTGTCATGACCTGCGTTGTCTCAGCGTACCAGGCTTACGGTGACCTACTGATGTGGTGCACATTCTGACCATGATGGCACGATTAATCCTCTGCAGTGATGGAGAAGCTGTAACCCTAGACTATGGAGAAAGCAAGGTAACCAATGTCCTCGGTCAAGAGTCCTCGACGAAGGGTTACCTAGTCTGGGCATTCCGCTTCCGTAGCACCATCCCAGACACTCGGCGACAGCCCTTCCCGACAGCCACGGCGGGGGATCAAAGCCGCGCCCGCAGATGAATGAGTATGATATCCCAGGCTGAGCAACGGAACGGGACTCGGCGGCTGATGGGCGGTTCTCACCTGGCGGGGAACAACGCGAGGAATGCCATTCACGCTGCGTCTAGTCTACGAGATCAAGATCAAATCAGAGACATAAAGCTGACTCGGCATTAGGACAGGGTTAATATGTCACTGAACAAGCGGTAAGAAAGAGCCAAAAAGCAACGAAATGGTTGAAACTCGCGCAAAGTCGGGTTCTGGCTGTTTAGCTTACGCATGTCCAGCTCATAACTGCGCTCACTCTCCATTGTGCGCAACTTCGCGCTCGCTCGCTCAGCCAAGCGCCAGGTCGCTTGCCAGTTACAGCATAAACCTTTGCTATAGCAGCCACATTCCTAGATGAATGGATGGCAGGCTTCACCCCAAATTACACAAAAAGTCGTCTCATTCAAGACAAGGTATGTAGGGGGTGGGAAAGCTGGAGAGATCGGGGGTCTTCCCGCCCCCACGGGGTTTGCTTGCTTTCTTCTGTCCAGGCCGAGCCGTTGTGACATTTTAAATACCTCTTGGTACATAACACGATTAGAACAAGAAAGCGCACGAATCCCGGGATCGACATCTCGAGAGAAAAGAGATAACAGTTGTGAGATTGTCATGCAACAATCCTAGGCCATCATAAGTTTTCCTTGGCTCTTCGCGGGGGTGGGCTTGTGCTCAGGGCTTCCCCGCGCCGTGAGGTGTGTTGGGCCCTGACACCTCCGGAAGGAGATCCAATGGGAGGCGTTCAAGGCCCAGCTGTGGCTGCAGCGAGGTTTCATGGAGGGACGGGGTCGCATATCGCGGAAGCCCGAGGTGAAGGGAATGGCTGCCTTTGACCCCTTGCAGACACGAAGAGCTTGGGAGTTTGTAGGAAGAATGGCGCCGAAGATGCCGATGACGAGTGCCTGGTCCTTGGAGGACAGCTGCTTCTACGTGGCAGTGCGCCTAGACGGCACGAACGGATGGAGGAGATGCCGTATCGTGTCCGAGTTGCCGAGTGTCGAGGTTGGGTGGAATTGGAACTTGGTCGTCTTGAGGGGATGCGTGTAGTTGGTGAATGCGGTCAAGGACTTGAACTGTGCAAGCACCATCACGGCAACGATCTACATAGGCGATGGAGCACGGTAGTCTCAATCTGGGGTTGCAATTCACAAACACCTTTCGCTCTTGACCCAATAGCCAGACGCTGCCATGCATTTCTCCATCCCGTGTTTTGCCGCCATTGCTGCAGAGGTTGCATGTCGGTACACGATAAGCTCAAAGTCCAGCCTAGAGAAGCTGTAAATTATTCACCGACTTCTAGGTCCCCTGACTCGGGGTAATGAGGACCGATTTCGATGGATCTGGAGGGCCTCATTCCAGGTCGATGCGATTGGGTCTCTTCTCATCGCAAAAGGCGGGTAGTCTAGAAGAAAGCGAGTCATAGTCACGATTAGGAGAGACAAAGAGGGAGCCTCATTCTAGAACGCATGTGGCAAGTGTATTTTCCCCCCTCAATTCCATTCATCGTGAGGGTCTCAAGCCCTGAATCTAGACCCTGGCTATTTCTTACCGATGGTGGGCTACCAACTTCACCGAGGGTGGTTGGATAAACAACAATGAATTGTGGTGGTCTGCATTGAGGCTCAGACTTTGGCAAAAAGGCTTACGAATGTCAAGTCATCATCGTTCGAGTTTCTAGACATGCCGAATCCCATCCTTTCTCTGTTCCTTTTGGACGGGATCAGCGTTGTGTTGGTGGGCTCGGTAGATGGCTGACGATGCATCTGCCAGCACAAAGCACCCAGAACGCCCGTTCGCATAACCCTCATGCATACCAAAACCACGGAACAAAAAGCAAGCAGACTTGTCAAGCCCCGTGACACATGCCACATTTGACAAGCAAGGGCAATTAATCGCAGATCGACCAAAAAAAGATGTGCCTGGGATTTCAGGAACACAGCATCTGCACCCCAGATTTTCTTCCCCGCATCTGCGGTGTGGGGAGTGGATCCCGCCGCTGGCCGGTCCGGCGAGAGTACAGTGAGTAGAGCTTCAGCTCGGGCTTGTATCCTGCCGACTGGCGTCGGGTCTTTGCTTGAATTGCGGGGGAAGGTCAAAGCACTCGGGAAAAGCAAGCTTGTATGACTCGCGATGCATTCATCTCGGGTTGTTTTTTTGTGGTTGGATCGAGATTGAGGTTTACGGATGATAGAGTTGGCTGCAAGGTGGGTACAGAGCCAGAGTGCCAAGGTTGAAAGAAGCAATGAAATTGTGGCGAAAGGCATGCTGGTCGTTTGAGCTGAAGTGACAGCGATGGAACCGAGTTCTGGCATTCAACAGGCTCGGCAGATCCACTAACCGAGGCAACATGCTCCCTGGTCCTGTAGCTTGGTGAACTTTCTGCCTAGTTCCATGCGTCTTGAGCTCAGCTCGAGAGGAGGATAGTTGAGAACGGTTCGACGGAGCTCACAGTCTTTCGAGTCGGATGATGACCAGTAGCTAGAAGGAGCCTCAAATATATCTAAAACTTCCTGTTCCTTAACTACGTGCTCTCAAAACTAGGACCTGTAGAAACTGGAACCAGTTGTGGTGTATGCCTCGGCCTCCACTCGCAGCTTACCTACCTCCCTACCTATCCTAGCTCAAGCTCAGCCTGCATCTTTCGGACATACCGAGCCTACTCAACTTTATTCAAACTATTGGTGAGCTCAATAAGAAAAAAGAGAAGACAAAGGCGAGATAACTTCTCATCACTTCTTTTTCGCATAATATTCGAGTTGCTGGCCGAGCTTAAGAATAAGCTTGTTCGAGTTCCACATCGCCAATCAGTCAATCATGGAGGGGCAGCTGAAATATCGTGGTGGAGCTGCAACCTCAATCTATGCACAAAGTCCCGCTTAATTATGAAAGCAAAGTCGCAATCTCAACGGATCAGATAGCGTCGAAACAATGGGTGTTTTCTCGGTCAAATATCTCACTCTGGTATGGCCAAGATCTATAGTGTATCTAGCTTCAAGATAGGCGAGATTCTGCGTCGTGTCTTCCAAGAGTAGGGCTGTCGTGAACAGGGCGGTATCCTGGCATCTCGACGAACCTGTGGGTCATTTTGTGCTGCCAGAGTGCTTTTAGACCGACTACGGAGCCTCTTTGATGAAGCAGTTCTGGTGTCAAGATGCAGGGGCCAAGGACTAGACTTGGGACTATTCAATCTGGACTGCATGCTGCTGCTGCTGCTGTGTGCTGCAATACACAGCACGAGGTGACAATGGCCGGGTTGCTGGGATCGAGCTGGCATGACACGGAATCCCTGTCTGGTTGAGGGGCTCATCGAATGTTTTGGTCAGGCCAAGGGTTGGTAAGCGCACATGCGATTGGCTAGGACCCGCGCACGCGACGCACTGCAGGATGGGCCCCCTATGAGCGAGTCCAGGGAACCTTGGAACTTTTTTTTTTTTCATTCTTTTTTTCTCTGTCTTTTCAGCGACGTGATGGGTTGTCAAACTTTGAATGTGACTGGACGTGATGTGCCGTCAAAATGGGTTCTGACATCCATCGTCACTGCAACCCTCCCTCACCCCTCGCCTCGTTTTTTTTCTCGAAGCCTGCCCTTTTTTCTTCATTCCTCAAGCCCTCATTTCCCTCTGGACTGGAACGTCTTCCCATTTGTCATACGTAATCCGTCTCGAGTCTCGCCCCCCCTCCCCTTTTTTTCTTCTCTGTTCCGGTTGCACCCAGTGGCACCAAACAGGCTTGGCTACTGGGAGGCGGAACAGCTGCTAGAGCCCAAAGGGGCATAAATCGACGCGAAGATCCCCCAGCCGGAACCTTCCAGGTTGTATCGGGGGGGCCTTGAACGAGTTCGGGGCTGTTGAGTTCGGAGGACGGATTCTCACCCGAGCGTACCGGTAGGTCGCCCAGCGCAGTGCAGTGCAGCACAGTCTAGGTTGGTTAGCAGCAGTGTGCCAGCCCCTCTGCATTAGACATGGACTCCTGTGGCCAAGGAAAAAAAGACAGCCTCCACAGAGACAAGCTTGAACGAGTCAAACAGTGTCTTGGGCGGGCAGCAAATGGCGTGCCTCTCCCACCCATCCTTGACCTGATTTTCCCCAGGAAACCTTGAACCTCGAGTCTCTGAGAGGCCCGATCGCCTCTTGTGATCAGGTGCCGTGTCATTTTCCAATTCGAGGGGATCCTTGATCGGGCGCTTGCTCTCAGCAGGTCTAGTACCCGAGTAGATTAGCGGGGTGCGGGGGAGGTGAAACCGCCTTCGGAAAAGCGGAGAATCTTAACCCCAGGGAACCCAGCACCTGGCGCCCACTGAGGAAAGCCCTGCGCTCCAGACTTTGCTGGCCATATGCTGTGCCCGCAGACCCAAAATTGGCCGCAGCGCCCTTGCCCACTGGACTTGTCCTCGCGGGGCTGCGCTGCTAGGCCCAGTGCGCGGCAAATCTCATCTCCCCTTCCCGGCGTCCATCTCTTCCTCCAGTCTCCATCCATCTCCCGCAGATTCCCAACATCCATCCACCTTCAAACTTGCATCGCCCACTTTCGCTTGATAATCCGCCGTCTCCGCCCGATTCGAACGCCCTCGATCTCTTTCAGGGCATATCGCCGTCGCTGAGTCTTCGACGCGACGTTGCGCTGCCAGAAGAATAGAAAAGACAGA